GCCCAACTTTCATTTTCAAAATCATGTCTAAGCCCGGGGCTTTTTTCATGGTGATAATGTCAAAAACCCAAATCACTTTATTAGGTATTGGGCTAAAAAAGGAATTTTAACAATTAAGGACCCTTGTAATGAAGATAGTTTTTTGTCATTTGAAGATCTGAAACTCAAATTTGATATTGGAGGAGCATATATGGTTTTTGTAAAGTGGATAGTGAAACTTTATGTCATGTATATTGGGAATGTGTTGTAACTCAAACCTTCTGGAAAGAACTTGAAAACTGGATAATCCAAAACAAACAGAAATTTGAAATAAGAAAGCTTTTGGTTTGGTTTGGTTTTTGGTAATAAGCCATTGCTAAGTCATATAATCTTTTCTGCTTAAAGACATATATATATTTGCACTTTAAAGAAAATAATTCCAAAAGTTAAGAAATTCGTATCCAGAAGGAACAATAGTTTTGATAATTTTCAGAGAAATGGTTTCCTTTATCCTCAGTTTTCAATCTCTTAATCTGTAATCAAACTTGAATAACTTTATTGCATTATAATTTCTTCATGCTACCAGTTGATGAACTTTGATCATGCATATGTACACTTTTTGCTTTACTTTATATGCTTGTATTCAATTATAGGAACAAATGAAAAAACAAAATCACTAAGAGTTTAAGGTAGCTGGTCACGTGATCATTATCGTATTCTAGTTTCAGACCATCACAGCGATTACAAATGAGATATTCTTCAAGATCATTAAGGTTAACAGCTGTGTTTGTTCAAACATGCCATAGAAAGTCAAGTGAGTGTATGAGTGGGTTTTTTCCAACACGTGGGCGGACATACATACATACCATTGCAACCGCTTCACAATATATTATATGCACAAATATTCTACATACACAATGAATTTTAGTAGAGTGGGTCGTTTATGTTTCCGTAGTTCCACCAGAAGACATTTTGGATAATAAATATCACACTTTTGATATAATTATACACAATTAAGTGTTTCGCCATATATTCTTACAAACTTAGCTGCAAATACTTGCAATACTGCTGACTCACCTTTAAGCAATATTTACGTATTCACTCACTAAGTCTTTTGTCACTCCAGATGTTTTGTATGCATGCGTTGGTTATGTACAGTAAAGTATATCATATATACAGCTTAGTATTTCTAAGTAACTCCACCTTCTTCACACTTTGGTGTGAAAGGTGTCAGTTGAGTTTACACAGGACCCTTTGTGTGCCCTGTGGATACTATTTACACTCATATGGTCCTGCTTGCAAGTGCAATATAGCCATTACGTCACTGCATTCACCATGCATTACCGATTTCCATATTGCATAAATACCTACACTGAAAACTTATCATCTTAACTTGACAACGACTGGTAAACATCTTTTGTCTTCAATGAATAACCTGTAAACAACATTCGACAGCTTAACTACTGCACCTGTGACAAACAAATGTACTATATGAACACCGAGAGGAGAGAGCAAGGTTCACATTCGTCATGTGGAGGCACCTTTAGGACAATTGTGCATGTAGCTATGAGAAAAAGTACCGCAACCTTGAATATGACTTAGCTCTTTGTCCAGAAAATGTATACCAGTTCAGGTATAAAAGAAGGGGTATGGTCTTACAACAGCACGTAGCTCTCTTGATTCCAGCAGCGAGATTCTGACTTGGTTTCTGTTAAACCCGGCAAAGCCATAACATACCATTACATTGATTAAATTACTACAGTTCACAGGGGTGTCATAGCTCAGCACAGTTATCATTGAGGTACACAGACCAAAATAATGTTCAACACGACCCCTATGAAACTACGTCAGTGTTAAGTATCATGTGCACACATCGCACGTCACGTTGACAATGTTTTTCTCAAACTAATACATCGAAGTGTTCAAACTAATACATCGAAGTGTCCAAACTAATACATCGAAGTGTTCAAACTAATACATCGAAGTGTTCAAACTAATACATCGAAGTGTAAGGAAAGAGAAAAAGAAAGAAAGAAAATGTTTTAATTTATTTTTCGTGTAAGACCGGTAGGTTGCAAAACTTTATATTTAGTTAGTGTTGAGAGCTTGCCCAACTTTTCAAAATCATGTGTGAGCCCGGGCTTTATTTCATGATGGTAGCTACGCCCCTGTTTACCTTCGTCCTTTATTTTGCGCAAGGTACTGACAGATATACCAGTAGCATCGCTGGCTTTTTTGAGTGCACTGTGTGTGCTGTCGGAAATAGTACACATGTACTGAATGACATTGTAGGCAACCTCACGGGTTTGTGAATGAATGACTTGACCCCGTTTACCCAATTTAGAGTGCGACATGATAAGTTTCAAATACCTGCAGAGTTTAATACTCTTTTAACAGTCCACTTTACAAGATACTAGTACACACATGCTCGAGCAGAAACACAACGTTTCCGAATCATTGCGTAGAAAGTGATAACTGCAAGGATCACAAAAATCACGTGCGCGAAGTTTTCACACCTGTTCCCCCTTCGAGTAGGTAGGGGATCAGTTCACGGCACGCTCCCAGCTCTCGTTTCACAAACGCGTCTTTCGCGCACCTCATTCTATTGTTAGTTGGACAGTAGGAATATTTGTTTGTATCTGTTACATGAACAAAGGAGTTGGTGTAGAAGTGATAGAGTGTGAACATTTCAAACTCTGTGAACTGTACAATACTTGTCTTCAAGCAATTGAAATATGTTTTAGTTGTTTGACAAATAACACCATTTATTCACAACTATGAATGATGTCTTAGCTTTGTTATGAAAGAGAACAAAGATAAGATACAATTTAGACAGCAGACTTAAGAGGTTTTTCAGTGATTCTGAATTCTGATATAAATTACATTGAGTTGTTCGTGAAAGAATTGGTGTAGAAACTCAACTTCCCAAACGAAACTTCAGTTTCAAATTATTTTAAGGCGTGCTGAACATGTTTGACTGTACCTACTTCAACATGAAATGCTGCCATTTAATGAGATCAACAGCTCTTTAAGTGTGTGTGTGAATGTAACACAGGTTTTAATGAATTTATAACTATTTTTAGTCACGATATGGCTGAAATACTGCCACTGTGACTATAAACTTTAACTCACTCACTCACTCATGATATATCGTCTCGCCTCATTAAACTGGTATCAGGATATATCGTCTCTCCACTTAGACTACGAAGCACAGCTCTAATACCAAGTATGTGCATATTTACACATTTACAACAGTACTTCACATCATTAATACATTGTAATCATCTTTTTCGAAAGTATAGATAATGAAATTTGTGCAGCTATGTGAACACACACTGACACCTTGGCAAATGACACCCCAACACCTGAAATGATTACCATAATCGAAATCGTAGACTGCGCGCTTTCAAAATCTCAAGAATGAATCGCAAACAGTGATGACACGGATTCTTGGGGAAACTCTAGGTACCCCTGTCCCACCAGTGGGATTCGCCAACAAATCCAAGGCCAAATGCAAAAAGGGGCCTATCTTGTAGAATCTCCCCGCAGCAGTAAAAGTGTGGGCCAATAATTAGAATTACAACTCCCATGCTCCAGATATCCTTGTCGCTTTGACCACATTACTAAAACAAACAAGGTTTACCCCACACAACCCACGTCTTAAGATATGAGCAGAATAGAAGTATCTAGATTGACATTATGAGTATTAATTGCTTGAAAATTGTAAATTTCATCACATTAGTGAGATATGTTTTATAGTCGAGAAGAAATTCACAGTACACAAAGAAAGAATGGGACAGGGTTCAAAGCACGAACTTGAAGGTACACTGGAAAGTTATAAACTTTTGATATACATAGTGTAACTGAAATATTACTATATAACGGTCAAGAGTGTGGATATATATTACTTTTAGATGAACATTTTTTAAATATATACCTGATATAACAATAAATGTGGTTCAGACATCGGAGGAAATAGCAAAGATAGCTTATTTATCAGATTTGGATACCAAGATTATCAGATTCCTTATTGCAAGTTTAGACTCACTGGTGTAAATATAGCCACTTACTTCAACTGTTCTAAACTAAATTCCGCAAAATATTCCATACTGTGGAAAGGTACTGTTTACACATGAACTGATGTTTTGTAAAACATACTCGTAACGTTGAAAAGATTATTGTCATGAGTTCAATAAATATGATAAAAATCAGTAAAAAATGGCGAATTCTTAACAAAACTTTCCACCAAAACGCAGCTGTTCCAATGCACGATATTTGCCCATGCTCTCAGCAATTTGATGCATGATCCTCGTGCAATTCATCTGCATAAGGTTTGCAGTTGGTTCCCCCAAGCTAGTGGAGAAATGAATCTTCGATGTAACCATATATATATATATATATATATATATATATATATATATATATATACATATACATAACATATAGTGAGTGTTTTAAGTGAGTCTAAACTATTGATGGGAAGTATGTAATTAAATTATGTATTATTAAACTTGCACAGAATGCTAGGTTCTTTTGCAGACGAAAAGTAGTCAATAACTAAAGAAAGCAGAATGTCCAATGCTCATCCATAGACACGATATGTGAACCTTTTAAACATACATCATGTGTATGTCAAGAATGAGCGAGTATATTTTACGCCGCTTTTAGCTATAATCCAGCAAAACACGGCGGGGGCACCAGAAATGGGCTTCACACATTGTACCCAGTTGGCGAATCGAAACCGGGACCTCTACGTGACGTTTCACTACTAGGTGACCAAAGAATCGACCGGGAAGAAGACTTCGGAGCAGTTATCAGTTAACTGACCTCTGGCGTATTCAAATATACCCACTGAGGGACTTTGAGAAGGTACACCGTCTGATACTGCATAAGTGACGTGATACGATGGTTTACTCATATACCAATAAATGTGGTTGCAGATGATTACTTTTCCTTTAGTCATTCTCCATGTTCCAGATGGTCCCATCCAGATGTCAACGTACGTTACTTATTGGTTTCAGGTCCACTACGCGAGTATGTTATAAGATGCGGGCAGGTGAGTCAGCTACGGAATTCATCACAAATTGAGTGAGTGAGTGAGTGAGTGAGTGAAAGGGTTGGTTGGTTAGTGGGGGAGTGAGCGGCGCACAAAAGAAGCTAGTTTTGCCCTGACTATTATCAGATAGTTTGTTATAACTCTACCTGTGCCTTCACGTTTGTTTTCACCAAAGTGGGAAAGCTTGGAAACCCAAACTACCTCAAACGAGGTACACACGTTTCGGTATTGATGCATTTACGTTTAAACTTATCTGTTCCATAACCTTTCTGTGTATGTGCAGTGAACGGTGGATGGTCAAGCTATGGCTCATGGTCAGCATACGGTACGTGCACAAGAACATGTGGAGGCGGTACCAAGTTGAGATTTCGCACACGCACGTGCACCAATCCGAGTCCTGCTTATGGTGGAGCCATATGTACTGGCTCAGGACGCGCTTCCCAGAGTATCTGGTGTAACACACAGAGATGTCCAGGTAAGTTCAGATAGGGAACCATTTAATCCATCTAAACCAAAGACAGGGAGACATTTCATGATCAGGCCTTTGCTTCTCAAGTGCCATTTAAATTTGAAAACACATTCACACTGAGACGAAGATTGGATTAGTCCTGTCCTGAATACATTGGTTGGTTGGTTTGAGTTTAACACCACACTCAGCAGTGTTTTAGCTATATGGCGGCAGTCTGTAAATAATCAAGGCCGGACCAGACAATCCAGTGATCACCCGATCCCGTTCCCTGACCACCCGGTCCCGTTAGTCGCCTCTTACGACAAGCATGGGTTCCCGAATACACTGAGCCATCACTGATATTCAGTGGTCCAACATATTATATTTTAACCTCAATTTCACCTTCAGTCCAAAGGGGTATAGGAATCAAATTTTAGTAATAGATTCTAGTTGTAAATTCGCTCTCTGTGATATTCTACTTTTTTTCTCCTTTGTCGACAAATTTATAATTTAAATTTATCTGTCATGAATTTATAGATTGTTTTCATGAAACTAAAATGCTGCAGATGTGACTCTCTCTATACACTCACAAACTGACTCACTCTGGCTAAAGGGTATCCGTATGGTGACGATGTTATGTATTTACATGTATCAACAAATATTATCTCACTGTTATCGAATAATTTGTCATTACTCTTCCTGTCCCTGTACTTTTGTTTTCACCAAAGTGGGAAAGCTTTAAAACCCAAACTACCTCAAATGAGGTACACACGTTTTGTTATTGATGCATTTACGTTTAAACCTACATATACCTTGTCGTTTGTGTGTATGTGCAGTGAACGGCGGATGGTCAAGCTATGGCTCATGGTCAGCATACGGTACGTGCATAAGAACATGTGGAGTCGGTTACAAGTCGAGATTTCGCACACGCACGTGCACCAATCCGAGTCCTGCTTATGGTGGAGCCATATGTACTGGCTCAGGACGCGTTTCCCAGAGTATCTGGTGTAACACACAGAGATGTCCAGGTAAGTTCAGATAGGGAACCATTTAATCAATCTAAACCAAAGACAGGGATACATTTCATGATCAGGCCTTTGCTTCTCAAGTGCCATTTAAATTTGAAAACACATTCACACTGAGACGAAGATTGGATTAGTCCTGTCCTGAATACATTGGTTGGTTGGTTTGAGTTTAACACCACACTCAGCAGTGTTCTAGGTATATGGCGGCGGTCTGTAAAAAAACAAGGCTGGACCAGACAATCCAGTGATCACCCGATCCCGTTCCCTGACCACCCGGTCCCGTTAGTCGCCTCTTACGACAAGCATGGGTTCCCGAATACACTGAGCCATTACTGATATTCAGTGGTCTAATGATATATTTTATTTGAACCTCTATTTCACCTTCAGGCCAAAAGAGATATACGAATAAAATCTTAGTGATAGTTGCTAACTTTAAATTCTGTTGCTGTGATATTGTATTTGTTTTTATGCCCATTGTGGACATGTTTTTCTAATTTAAATTCATTTTTCATAAGTTTATGGATTGTTTTCATGAAACTGAAATGCTCCCTGATGTTACTCTCTATACCTTCACTCACTCACCACTCACTCTGGCTAAAGGGGATCCGTATGGTGACGATGCTATGTAATTACATGTATCAACAAATATTATCTGACTGTTATCGAATAATTTGTCATAACTCTTCCCGTCCCTGTACTTTTATTTTCACCAAAGTGGGAAAGCTTTGAAACCCAAACTACCTCAAATGAGGTACACACGTTTTTGTATTGATGCATTTACGTTTAAACCTACATATACCATGTCGTTTGTGTGTATGTGCAGTGAACGGTGGATGGTCAAGCTATGGCTCATGGTCAGCATACGGTACGTGCACAAGAATATGTGGAGTCGGTACCAAGTCGAGATTTCGCACACGCACGTGCACCAATCCGAGTCCTGCTTATGGTGGAGCCATATGTACTGGCTCAGGACGCGCTTCCCAGAGTATCTGGTGTAACACACAGAGATGTCCAGGTAAGTTCAGATAGGGAACCATTTAATCCATCTAAACCAAAGACAGGGATACATTTCATGATCAGGTCATTGCTTCTCAAGTGCCATTTAAATTTGAAAACACATGGCACACTAAGACGAGGATATGATTAGTCCTGTCCCAAATAATTTGGTTGGTTGGTTTGTTGTTTAACACTGCACTCAGCAAGATTGCGGAGAACAACTAAACTTGATAAGATATTTCCGTTACAAGCAGCTTCAGATGGGTAAACGCATCTGATCATATGTTTAGACTTCGAAAGTAATTTAAAAACACTTGAAAACTTTACTGGAAAAAAGCTCTAATGACAATGATATTAGTGGTACAAATGTGTGTGCCTGAAAACTTAGTAACAATCATAAGGTTTGATTTAAACATTCCATATCGTGTTTGTGTTTATGCAGAAAGAAAAGAAACAATTGCATGTATACTTTTAGTTGTTGTTTTTGTAGATGCAGTAAGAAAAGAAACAATTAGGTGCATATATGCCATTCTATTTTTTGTGTATATATGGATTCATAATGATACATTAACATTAAAGCTTAATATATATTCCATGTCGTTTTTGTGTGTGTGCAGTGAACGGTGGATGGTCAAGCTATGGCTCATGGTCAGCATACGGTACGTGCACAAGAACATGGAGGAGGAACCATGTCGAGATTTCTGCACACGCACGTGCACCAGTCCGAGTCCTGCTTATATGGTGGAGCCATGTGTTTTGGCTCAGGACGCGCTACCCAGTCCACCAGTTGTAACACACAAAGTTGTGCAGGTAACTTCAGTTAGGGAACAATTTAATCCATCTAAACTAAAGACATTTCATGACCAGGTCATTGCTTCTCAAGTGCCATTTAAATTGGAAAACACATGGCACACTAAGACGAGGATATGATTAGTCCTGTCCCAAATAATTTGGTTGGTTGGTTTGTTGTTTAACACTGCACTCAGCAAGATTGTGGAGAACAACTAAACTTGATAAGATATTTCCGTTACAAGCAGCTTCAGATGGGTAAACGCATCTGATCATATGTTTAGACTTCGAAAGTACTTAAAACACTTTGAAAACTTTACTGGAAAAAGCTCTAATGACAATGATATTAGTGGTACAAAATGTGTGTGCCTGAAAACTTAGTAACAATCATAAGGTTTGATTTAAACATTCCATATCGTGTTTGTGTTTATGCAGAAAGAAAAGAAACAATTGCATGTATACTTTTAGTTGTTGTTTTGTAGATGCAGTAAGAAAAGAAACAATTAGGTGCATATATGCCATTCTATTTTTTTGTGTATATATGGATTCATAATGATACATTAACATTAAAGCTTAAATATATATTCCATGTCGTTTTGTGTGTGTGCAGTGAACGGTGGATGGTCAAGCTATGGCTCATGGTCAGCATACGGTACGTGCACAAGAACATGTGGAGGAGGAACCATGTCGAGATTTCGCACACGCACGTGCACCAGTCCGAGTCCTGCTTATGGTGGAGCCATGTGTTTTGGCTCAGGACGCGCTACCCAGTCCACCAGTTGTAACACACAAAGTTGTGCAGGTAACTTCAGTTAGGGAAAAATTTAATCCATCTAAACTAAAGACATTTCATGACCAGGTCATTGCTTCTCAAGTGCCATTTAAATTTGAAAACACATGGCACACTAAGACGAGGATATGATTAGTCCTGTCCCAAATAATTTGGTTGGTTGGTTTGTTGTTTAACACTGCACTCAGCAAGATTGCGGAGAACAACTAAACTTGATAAGATATTTCCGTTACAAGCAGCTTCAGATGGGTAAACGCATCTGATCATATGTTTTTAGACTTCGAAAGTACTTAAAACACTTGAAAACTTTACTGGAAAAAGCTCTAATGACAATGATATTAGTGGTACAAATGTGTGTGCCTGAAAACTTAGTAACAATCATAAGGTTTGATTTAAACATTCCATATCGTGTTTGTGTTTATGCAGAAAGAAAAGAAACAATTGCATGTATACTTTTAGTTGTTGTTTTTGTAGATGCAGTAAGAAAAGAAACAATTAGGTGCATATATGCCATTCTATTTTTGTGTATATATGGATTCATAATGATACATTAACATTAAAGCTTAATATATATTCCATGTCGTTTTTTTGTGTGTGCAGTGAACGGTGGATGGTCAAGCTATGGCTCATGGTCAGCATACGGTACGTGCACAAGAACATGTGGAGGAGGAACCATGTCGAGATTTCGCGCACACGCACGTGCCACCAGTCCGAGTCCTGCTTATGGTGGAGCCATGTGTTTTGGCTCAGGACGCGCTACCCAGTCCACCAGTTGTAACACACAAAGTTGTGCAGGTAACTTCAGTTAAGGAAAAATTTAATCCATCTAAACTAAAGACATTTCATGACCAGGTCATTGCTTCTCAAGTGCCATTTAAATTGGAAAACACATGGCACACTAAGACGAGGATATGATTAGTCCTGTCCCAAATAATTTGGTTGGTTGGTTTGTTGTTTAACACTGCACTCAGCAAGATTGCGGAGAACAACTAAACTTGATAAGATATTTCCGTTACAAGCAGCTTCAGATGGGTAAACGCATCTGATCATATGTTTTAGACTTCGAAAGTACTTAAAACACTTGAAAACTTTACTGGAAAAAAGCTCTAATGACAATGATATTAGTGGTACAAATGTATGTGCCTGAAAACTTAGTAACAATCATAAGGTTTGATTTAAACATTCCATATCGTGTTTGTGTTTATGCAGAAAGAAAAAGAAACAATTGCATGTATACTTTTAGTTGTTGTTTTTGTAGATGCAGTAAGAAAAGAAACAATTAGGTGCATATATGCCATTCTATTTTTGTGTATATATGGATTCATAATGATACATTAACATTAAAGCTTAAATATATATTCCATGTCGTTTTTTTGTGTGTGTGCAGTGAACGGTGGATGGTCAAGCTATGGCTCATGGTCAGCATACGGTACGTGCACAAGAACATGTGGAGGAGGAACCATGTCGAGATTTCGCACACGCACGTGCACCAGTCCGAGTCCTGCTTATGGTGGAGCCATGTGTTTTGGCTCAGGACGCGCTACCCAGTCCACCAGTTGTAACACACAAAGTTGTGCAGGTAACTTCAGTTAGGGAACAATTTAATCCATCTAAACTAAAGACATTTCATGACCAGGTCATTGCTTCTCAAGTGCCATTTAAATTGGAAAACACATGGCACACTAAGACGAGGATATGATTAGTCCTGTCCCAAATAATTTGGTTGGTTGGTTTGTTGTTTAACACTGCACTCAGCAAGATTGGCGGAGAACAACTAAACAATTGATAAGATATTTCCGTTACAAGCAGCTTCAAGATGGGTAAACGCATCTGATCATATGTTTTAGACTTCGAAAGTACTTTAAAAACACTTGAAAACCTTTACTGGAAAAAGCTCTAATGACAATGATATTAGTGGTACAAATGTGTGTGCCTGAAAACTTAGTAACAATTGTAAGGTTTGATTTAAACATTTCCATATCGTGTTTGTGTTTATGCAGAAAGAAAAGAAACAATTACTCTGTATACCTTTTAGTTGTTGTTTTGTAGATGCTATGTAAGAAAAGAAACAATTAGGTGCATATATAACCATTCCCTATTTTTTATTGTCATATATGGATTCATAATGAGGTACATTAACATTAAAGCTTAAATATATATTCCATGTCGTTTTTGTGTGTGTGTGCAGTGAACGGTGGATGGTCAAGCTATGGCTCATGGTCAGCATACGGTACGTGCACAAGAACATGTGGAGGAGGAACCATGTCGAGATTTCGCACACGCACGTGCACCCAGTCCGAGTCCTGCTTATGGTGGAGCCATGTGTTTTGGCTCAGGACGCGCTACCCAGTCCATCTGTTGTAACACACACAGAGTTGTGCAGGTAACTTCAGTTAGGGAACCATTTAATCCATCTAAACTAAAGACATACATTTCATGATCAGGTCATTGCTTCTCAAGTGCCATTTAAATTTGAAAACACATGGCACACTAAGACGAGGATATGATTAGTCCTGTCCCAAATAATTTGGTTGGTTGGTTTGTTGTTTAACACTGCACTCAGCAAGATTGCGGAGAACAACTAAACTTGATAAGATATTTCCGTTACAAGCAGCTTCAGATGGGTAAACGCATCTGATCATATGTTTTTAGACTTCGAAAGTACTTAAAAACACTTGAAAACTTTACTGGAAAAAAGCTCTAATGACAATGATATTAGTGGTACAAATGTATGTGCCTGAAAACTTAGTAACAATCATAAGGTTTGATTTAAACATTCCATATCGTGTTTGTGTTTATGCAGAAAGAAAAGAAACAATTGCATGTATACTTTTAGTTGTTGTTTTTTGTAGATGCAGTAAGAAAAGAAACAATTAGGTGCATATATGCCATTCTATTTTTGTGTATATATGGATTCATAATGATACATTAACATTAAAGCTTAATATATATTCCATGTCGTTTTTGTGTGTGTGCAGTGAACGGTGGATGGTCAAGCTATGGCTCATGGTCAGCATACGGTACGTGCACAAGAACATGTGGAGGAGGAACCATGTCGAGATTTCGCACACGCACGTGCACCAGTCCGAGTCCTGCTTATGGTGGAGCCATGTGTTTTGGCTCAGGACGCGCTACCCAGTCCACCAGTTGTAACACACAAAGTTGTGCAGGTAACTTCAGTTAGGGAACAATTTAATCCATCTAAACTAAAGACATTTCATGACCAGGTCATTGCTTCTCAAGTGCCATTTAAATTGGAAAACACATGGCACACTAAGACGAGGATATGATTAGCCCTGTCCCAAATAATTTGGTTGGTTGGTTTGTTGTTTAACACTGCACTCAGCAAGATTGCGGAGAACAACTAAACTTGATAAGATATTTCCGTTACAAGCAGCTTCAGATGGGTAAACGCATCTGATCATATGTTTAGACTTCGAAAGTACTTAAAAACACTTGAAAACTTTACTGGAAAAAAGCTCTAATGACAATGATATTAGTGGTACAAATGTGTGTGCCTGAAAACTTAGTAACAATCATAAGGTTTGATTTAAACATTCCATATCGTGTTTGTGTTTATGCAGAAAGAAAAGAAACAATTGCATGTATACTTTTAGTTGTTGTTTTTTGTAGATGCAGTAAGAAAAGAAACAATTAGGTGCATATATGCCATTCTATTTTTGTGTATATATGGATTCATAATGATACATTAACATTAAAGCTTAATATATATTCCATGTCGTTTTTGTGTGTGTGCAGTGAACGGTGGATGGTCAAGCTATGGCTCATGGTCAGCATACGGTACGTGCACAAGAACATGTGGAGGAGGAACCATGTCGAGATTTCGCACACGCACGTGCACCAGTCCGAGTCCTGCTTATGGTGGAGCCATGTGTTTTGGCTCAGGACGCGCTACCCAGTCCACCAGTTGTAACACACAAAGTTGTGCAGGTAACTTCAGTTAGGGAAAAATTTAATCCATCTAAACTAAAGACATTTCATGACCAGGTCATTGCTTCTCAAGTGCCATTTAAATTTGAAAACACATGGCACACTAAGACGAGGATATGATTAGTCCTGTCCCAAATAATTTGGTTGGTTGGTTTGTTGTTTAACACTGCACTCAGCAAGATTGCGGAGAACAACTAAACTTGATAAGATATTTCCGTTACAAGCAGCTTCAGATGGGTAAACGCATCTGATCATATGTTTAGACTTCGAAAGTACTTAAAAACACTTGAAAACTTTACTGGAAAAAAGCTCTAATGACAATGATATTAGTGGTACAAATGTGTGTGCCTGAAAACTTAGTAACAATCATAAGGTTTGATTTAAACATTCCATATCGTGTTTGTGTTTATGCAGAAAGAAAAGAAACAATTGCATGTATACTTTTAGTTGTTGTTTTTTGTAGATGCAGTAAGAAAAGAAACAATTAGGTGCATATATGCCATTCTATTTTTGTGTATATATGGATTCATAATGATACATTAACATTAAAGCTTAATATATATTCCATGTCGTTTTTGTGTGTGTGCAGTGAACGGTGGATGGTCAAGCTATGGCTCATGGTCAGCATACGGTACGTGCACAAGAACATGTGGAGGAGGAACCATGTCGAGATTTCGCACACGCACGTGCACCAGTCCGAGTCCTGCTTATGGGTGGAGCCATATGTTTTGGCTCAGGACGCGCTACCCAGTCCACCAGTTGTAACACACAAAGTTGTGCAGGTAACTTCAGTCAGATAAGGAAAAATTTAATCCATCTAAACTAAAGACATTTCATGACCAGGTCATTGCTTCTCAAGTGCCATTTAAATTGGAAAACACATGGCACACTAAGACGAGGATATGATTAGTCCTGTCCCAAATAATTTGGTTGGTTGGTTTGTTGTTTAACACTGCACTCAGCAAGATTGCGGAGAACAACTAAACTTGATAAGATATTTCCGTTACAAGCAGCTTCAGATGGGTAAACGCATCTGATCATATGTTTTAGACTTCGAAAGTACTTAAAACACTTGAAAACTTTACTGGAAAAGCTCTAATGACAATGATATTAGTGGTACAAATGTATGTGCCTGAAAACTTAGTAACAATCATAAGGTTTGATTTAAACATTCCATATCGTGTTTGTGTTTATGCAGAAAGAAAAGAAACAATTGCATGTATACTTTTAGTTGTTGTTTTTGTAGATGCAGTAAGAAAACAATTAGGCGCATATATGATGGTGCTTATATATGCCATTCTATTTTTGTGCCCATCCAAACCTTTATATCAGCATGTTGATTCATATAATGATACTTGTTCATGTTTGCTTATATGCCATGTTGTTTAGGACAGAAAAGCAATGTAACCTAAAGTTATATTTTCCCCTTCTTCATGTATATTATCCGTGCGTGTAAATATTGATTTATAAATGTGTGGCCTTTCAGTACCGGAAATAAATATATATGTTAGAATATTTACATTGAACGGTGGATGGTCGGAAGCTATGGCTCATGGTCAGCATACGGTACGTGCACAAGAACATGTGGAGGAGGAACCATGTCGAGATTTCGCACACGCACGTGCACCAGTCCGAGTCCTGCTTATGGTGGAGCCATGTGTTTTGGCTCAGGACGCGCTACCCAGTCCACCAGTTGTAACACACAAAGTTGTGCAGGTAACTTCAGTTAGGGAACAATTTAATCCATCTAAACTAAAGACATTTCATGACCAGGTCATTGCTTCTCAAGTGCCATTTAAATTGGAAAACACATGGCACACTAAGACGAGGATATGATTAGTCCTGTCCCAAATAATTTGGTGGGTTGGTTTGTTGTTTAACATTGCATTCAGCAATATTCCAGCTATATGGCGGCGGTCTTATCGACAGCATGAGCATCGATCTAGGTAATTTTGGGATGCGATCATGTGTCAACTAAGCCAGCAAGCCTGGCTCCACTTTCATTTAGAACCTTTGCATCAAGGTTTGGGTGGATGGAAAATAGTATGGTTCAGGGTCTGTCGACAGACAAATAATACACGTGACGCCCATGTGTGGTATGCCATGTCGTTATATTGTAATAGAGAAAAGAAAAGGTCGTGTGGACATGGCGTCCGGCAGTGGATCCATAGGTATGTGGTACGAGTCCCAGCATGGGTCACCGATGTGTTCCATAGTACGGGAACTCCACTTTCCAGTTGCTTCCAGTCGAGATGACCTAATCCGTATTCCTGACTATTTACCCTGGAAATATATCAATGTGGACGGATGTGTAGTAACGACTAACAATGTTTCAGTGTGTTCTAATGTGTAATCTTTGTTATTTGAGACTGTAATAAATATATTTTGTCAATAAATAGGCAAACAGATTATTATTATTATTGATCTTAACGAAAATCCTTCACCTATTTCTATTTTTGATAGTTGACGGAGGCTGGAGCGTCTACACTGTGTGGACACCCTACAGCGCATGCTCAGTGAGTTGTGGAGGAGGCAGCCAATCACGTTCCAGAACAAGGTCATGTACTAACCCAACCCCAGCTAATGGCGGCAGTCCGTGTGTAGGGGAGACAACTGACACCAACAGCAGAGGCTGCAACACCCATCCATGTCCAAGTAAGTGCGTGAGTGAGTTGAACAATTTAAGCCACGTAGGCATTATTTCAGCCATATTGTGACTGTAATGAGTTATTCATTAATAATACAGAGTAAGTGAGTTTGGTTTGACGCCGCTTTTAGCAATGTTCCAGCAATATCACGGTGGGGAACACCGGAAATAGGCTTCACACATTGAATCCATGTGGGGAATCGAATCCACGTCTTCGGGGTGACGAGCGAACGCTTTAACCACTAGGCTTCCCGACCGTATATAATATCGACTATATGTATACATAAACACCCGTGAAGATCCGAACACAAATTCCTCTTCAGCAACTCATGCTTATCATAACAGGCGACTAACGTGATCGGTTGGTAAGGCTTGCTGACTTCGCCGACGTCGATCCCTGGATTGTCTTGTCCAGATTCGATTATTTACAGACCGCCGTCATATAGCTGGAATATTGCTTAGTACAGCATTAAACAACAAAGAAACAAAAACAGTATTGATATCATAAGGTTACTCAATACAGTGACTGTCTAAAACTTAGTAATACACGTTATTTTCTGAAGTTATTTCCAAAATTGGTGTTGAATGAATGTACCACAGCTGCAGGATCAGACCAAACATGGGTACCTCCTCCTCCAAAACTTGGCAAGGCAAAATCCTCCCTATGTGACCGACACCTCACCACATGCATCACACAGATTTTATGGTTGTGTATGGTTTGTTACAGTTGATGGTGGATGGAGTGACTATAGCGCGTGGACAGTGTACAGCACGTGCACAGCTACATGTGGAGGAGGATCTCAGTTCAGGACCAGAAACAGGACGTGCACCAACCCTGCCCCAGCCCACGGAGGTCGGGACTGTGACGGTGATACCAGGGACAGATCTGAGAGGGACTGTAACACTCATCCCTGCCCAAGTGAGTAATTTAGGATATATATAAATGAGTAACTGAGTTTAGTTTAACGCCACTTTTAGCAGTTTTCCGGCAATATCACGTCGGGGGACACGAGAAATGGGTTTCACACTTTGTTCCTATTTTGGGAATCGAACTCGGGTTTTCGACGTGACGAGCGAACGCTTTAACCACAAGGCTACCCGACCGTATATAAAATCGATAATATGTCTACATATGGACCCATGAAGATCCGAAGAAATTTCCTCTTCAGCAACCCATGCTTATCATAAGAGGCGACTAAAGGGATCGGGTGGTCAGGCTTGCTGACTTCGTTAACGTCGATCCCTGGATTGTCTGGTCCAGACTCGATTATTTACAGACCGCAGTCATATAGCTGGAATATTGCTGAGTGCAGTGTTAAACAACAAAGAAACAAACAAAAACAGTAATGATATCATAAGGTTACTCCATACAGTCTAAAAACTTAGTAATACACGTTATTTTCTGAAGTTATTTCTAAATTTGGTGTTGAATGAATTTACCACAGCTGCAAGGCCAGACTTTACATGGGTACCTCCTCCTCAACCACCTGGAAAGGCAAAATCCTCCGTATGTGACCGACAAATCACCACATGCATCACACAGATTTTATGGTTGTCTGTGGTTTGTTACAGATGATGGTGGGTGGAGTGACTACAGCGCGTGGACAGTGTACAGCACGTGCACAGCTACATGTGGAGGAGGATCTCAGTTCAGGACCAGAGACAGGACGTGCACCAACCCTGCCCCAGCCCACGGAGGTCGGGACTGTGACGGTGATACCAGGGACAGATCTGAGAGGGACTGTAACACTCACATCTGCCCAAGTGAGTAACGGAAGTAGCTCTGTTAATTTAGAATATGTATAATTATATGAGTGAGTGGGTGAATTTAGTTTTACGCCGCTTTTATCAATATTCCCGAATATCACGGCGGGGGACACCAGAAATGGGCTTCTTCACACATTGTACCCATGTGGGGAATCGAATCCGGTCTTCGGCGTGACGAGCGAACGCCTTAACCACTAGGCTACCCCACCGCCCCAATTTTAAAATAACCTTAAAATTTTAAAATAATCTTAGAATATGGTACACCCGCTTCGAACAGCTAACCATAGACTACCCATAGAAACTGGAAGATGGACTAACGTTGTAGGATCCGACAGACAATGTACATTATGTAATGAAGCAGTGGGCGATGAATACCACTTCCTTTTAACATGCCCATTTCTAGCAACCCTAAGAAATAAATATCTGCCTAAGTATTTTTGTAATAATCCATCAATAGATAAAGTCACCTCAATTATGAAATCCAGTTATAAACCACTTGCCGTGAAATTAGCCAAATACATCAAGGAGGGCTTATGTTTGTACACATGAGATTTATCATGTGCATAATTGTAATTTATTTTTTGTTATTGTTGCCATGTATAAATTCATACTGTTTATATTGTAAATATCTCTGTATGTTCTCTATGTCACAACATGTGACTTATGAGAATAAACTTTTTCTTCTTCTTCGAATCGAATCTGGGTCTTTGAAGTGAAGTTTCAACCACTAGGCTACCCTACCGTCCCACACATAATTGAGGACACACCTTTTGTGCTGTAATATTACATTGTTTACTTCTAATATACTTCGTGTGTGTAATCAATATATTGAATACCTATTATCGGTTTCAAATGTGGATCGTCACATCGCAGTACTCTGCATATTTCAGAATAAACTGCATTACCAGAAAACAATTCAGGGGAAAGCGTATGAATGAATACACGTATATATTTACGCCCTTGTTTAGTTGACGGTGGCTGGACTGACTGGGAAGAGTGGCAGGATGTGGACGAGTGCAGTGTCCAGTGTGGTGGCGGAAAGAAGGACCAGGACCGCTCCAGGACCTGTACCAACCCAAGCCCGGCCTTCGGTGGAGCCGACTGTGACGGAGAGCTACCAGAACCAGACCATCGACTGTAACACCGAGGAGTGTGGAGGTAACTTCACCAACAGAGTAATAACTAGATTCAAATTGGTTTATATAATCTTTTATTCCTCCATAGTGAAGAGTACAGAAAGAGAAGACAACATTTATGCAGTTATTTGAGAATTTTGATTTTCATGCATATTTGAGCCGATATCACGTTTTCTTGATCAGTCAAACGCTAGAGTCACAAGGAGTCACAAGGAGTCACTGTAATACAGCTTTGTACATCGTGGTGATGTATTTTATGCACAGAGTGGAAAACTCAATCAAGTCCTCTCTGATCAGGGGAAAGTCAGTTGTACACGACAACAAGCACTCAGTAAGTTCAGTTGGTTTCATGTTGTGAAGTTTCACACTGAATTCAATTGGCCCAATATTGATTAGGCCTATCCACAGTTCGTCCCGAGTTGCCCAATTACGGCGTGAGTCAGGAGGTCATTATACATCAACCCACACCGATGACACAGTCCTGCTTCACATAGGTCTCTCACTGTAGCGCAGGCTTTGATGACAAATTTAGCTTGCCGTCTGAGTGATGCGTCAAGCAATGACACTGTCCATGCAGGATGGACTTCAAGCTGGCGATGTATCCGCTGGAACTTGTGAAGATCAGGGTCATCTGCCAACCGACTGTTCCATTGTGCCACATGATACTCTCTGACTGACGTCTTCACTATTCTCCTCCACTTCAAACGCCCTAAGAAGGACCCTGATTCTAGGATTTTTTCCAAGTGACAATAGAGTAGGTATTTCTTGAGCACCCTGACTACACCAGGCACATATCCAAACGATGACGACGAGACGTTGTGTAAGTAGCTCATCAGCCGGGATATGAAAAGCTTGTGAGGCGGATATCTGTGGTCCATATTCAAGAGACCACACAGGAAACACAACTTCCGCTGATCTATAACTGCCTTTAGAGGCAACACTCCAAGGAGTCCAAGACAGCTATCAGTGCGAGTGGAACGAGGCAGGTCTAGGATTGATATGATGAAGTACCTGTAAGATCTCTCCAGCATCAAGATCTCAACTGTGGAAAGTTAGTCCACAGTTCCGTGGAAAGAAACACACGGTTAACAACTGTCAGGCTGATGATTGGGTTTGTAAACCGTGGGTGGAACCCACGAGCTGTCAGTCATCTCACAGCGGACCGCAAGGAAATGGCAGCTTGTGCCACATGATCTATGCTTGACATGTTGCTTGACAAGACTATTCCAACATGGCGGATTGATTCCATCCACGGGGGGAGGTTGGTCATACAACTTGACTTCAACCTGCTTCAGCTGCTGAGATCTCGGCCGGTATGGAAAAGTCACAATTTCACTCTTGGAGGACGAGAGCACGTATCTCCAGTACGTTGCTTGTATTCCTCGGAAATCCCCACCATCTCTCTAAGGGCAGAGACCCTCGATGAAATGAGTGCTACATCGTCTGCTTGAGTGGGAGAACACACACTTAAGTCCATCACGACAGCACCATGATTCGACCCAGAGAGTTTCTGGAGCAGGGAGTTTATGTACAGCAGGTACAACTTCCCAGACAGCACACCACCTTGTCTGATACCCTGCATCGTGGGGATAGGCCTAAAACACATTGAGTCAAGGAAAACTCGACACATCATTCCCGTGTACATGTTGTCAAGAACAGTCCATAAGGAGCCTTTGATTCCTCACTCGAATAACTTGTATTTCAAACCACTGTGCCATACTGTGTCGAAGGCCTTTAATGTATCCAGGAACACAACATGGGTATCCTCCATTCGCTTGCGGTAATGGCGTATCGTCTCTTGCAAGGGATCGGGTGGTCAGGCTTGCTGACTTCGTTAACGTCGATCCCTGGATTGTCTGGTCCAGACTCGATTATTTACAGACCGCAGTCATATAGCTGGAATATTGCTGAGTGCAGTGTTAAACAACAAAGAAACAAAGAAAAAACAGTAATGATATCATAAGGTTACTCCATACAGTCTAAAACTTAGTAATACACGTTATTTTCTGAAGTTATTTCTAAATTTGGTGTTGAATGAATTTACCACAGCTACAAGGCCAGACTTTACATGGGTACCTCCTCCTCCTCAACCACCTGGAAAGGCAAAATCCTCCGTATGTGACCGACAAATCACCACATGCATCACACAGATTTTATGGTTGTCTGTGGTTTGTTACAGATGATGGTGGGTGGAGTGACTACAGCGCGTGGACAGTGTACAGCACGTGCACAGCTACATGTGGAGGAGGATCTCAGTTCAGGACCAGAGACAGGACGTGCACCAACCCTGCCCCAGCCCACGGAGGTCGGGACTGTGACGGTGATACCAGGGACAGATCTGAGAGGGACTGTAACACTCACATCTGCCCAAGTGAGTAGCGGAAGTAGCTCTGTTAATTTAGAATATGTATAATTATATGAGTGAGTGGGGGAATTTAGTTTTACGCCGCTTTTATCAATATTCCCGAATATCACGGCGGGGGACACCAGAAATGGGCTTCACACATTGTACCCATGTGGGGAATCGAATCCGGGTCTTCGGCGTGACGAGCGAACGCCTTAACCACTAGGCTACCCCACCGCCCCAATTTTAAAATAACCTTAAAATTTTAAAATAATCTTAGAATATGGTACACCCGCTTCGAACAGCTAACCATAGACTACCCATAGAAACTGGAAGATGGACTAACGTTGTAGGATCCGACAGACAATGTACATTATGTAATGAAGCAGTGGGCGATGAATACCACTTCCTTTTAACATGCCCATTTCTAGCACCCTAAGAAATAAATATCTGCCTAAGTATTTTTGTAATAATCCATCAATAGATAAAGTCACCTCAATTATGAAATCCAGTTATAAACCACTTGCCGTGAAATTAGCCAAATACATCAAGGAGGGCTTATGTTTGTACACATGAGATTTATCATGTGCATAATTGTAATTTATTTTTTGTTATTGTTGCCATGTATAAATTCATACTGTTTATATTGTAAATATCTCTGTATGTTCTCTATGTCACAACATGTGACTTATGAGAATAAACTTTTTCTTCTTCTTCGAATCGAATCTGGGTCTTTGAAGTGAAGTTTCAACCACTAGGCTACCCTACCGTCCCACACATAATTGAGGACACACCTTTTGTGCTGTAATATTACATTGTTTACTTCTAATATACTTCGTGTGTGTAATCAATATATTGAATACCTATTATCGGTTTCAAATGTGGATCGTGACATCGCAGTACTCTGCATATTTCAGAATAAACTGCATTACCAGAAAACAATTCAGGGGGAAAGCGTATGAATGAATACACGTATATATTTACGCCCTTGTTTAGTTGACGGTGGCTGGACTGACTGGGAAGAGTGGCAGGATGTGGACGAGTGCAGTGTCCAGTGTGGTGGCGGAAAGAAGGACCAGGACCGCTCCAGGACCTGTACCAACCCAAGCCCGGCCTTCGGTGGAGCCGACTGTGACGGAGAGAGCTACCAGAACCAGACCATCGACTGTAACACCGAGGAGTGTGGAGGTAACTTCACCAACAGAGTAATAACTAGATTCAAATTGGTTTATATAATCTTTTATTCCTCCATAGTGAAGAGTACAGAAAGAGAAGACAACATTTATGCAGTTATTTGAGAATTTTGATTTTCATGCATATTTGAGCCGATATCACGTTTTCTTGATCAGTCAAACGCTAGAGTCACAAGGAGTCACTGTAATACAGCTTTGTACATCGTGGTGATGTATTTTATGCACCGAGTGGAAAACTCAATCAAGTCCTCTCTGATCAGGGGAAAGTCAGTTGTACACGACAACAAGCACTCAGTATGTTCAGTTGGTTTCATGTTGTGAAGTTTCACACTGAATTCAATTGGCCCAATATTGATTAGGCCTATCCACAGTTCGTCCCGAGTTGCCCAATTACGGCGTGAGTCAGGAGGTCATTATACATCAACCCACACCGATGACACAGTCCTGCTTCACATAGGTCTCTCACTGTAGCTCAGGCTTTGATGACAAATTTAGCTTGCCGTCTGAGTGATGCGTCATGCAATGACACTGTCCATGCAGGATGGACTTCAAGCTGGCGATGTATCCGCTGGAACTTGTGAAGATCAGGGTCATCTGCCAACCGACTGTTCCATTGTGCCACATGATACTCTCTGACTGACGTCTTCACTATTCTCCTCCACTTCAAACGCCCTAAGAAGGACCCTGATTCTAGGATTTTTTCCAAGTGACAATAGAGTAGGTATTTCTTGAGCACCCTGACTACACCAGGCACATATCCAAACGATGACGACGAGACGTTGTGTAAGTAGCTCATCAGCCGGGATATGAAAAGCTTGTGAGGCGGATATCTGTGGTCCATATTCAAGAGACCACACAGGAAACACAACTTCCACTGATCTATAACTGCCTTTAGAGGCAACACTCCAAGGAGTCCAAGACAGCTATCAGTGCGAGTGGAACGAGGCAGGTCTAGGATTGATATGATGAAGTACCTGTAAGATCTCTCCAGCATCAAGATCTCAACTGTGGAAAGTTAGTCCACAGTTCCGTGGAAAGAAACACACGGTTAACAACTGTCAGGCTGATGATTGGGTTTGTAAACCGTGGGTGGAACCCACGAGCTGTCAGTGATCTCACAGCGGACCGCAAGGAAATGGCAGCTTGTGCCACATGATCTATGCTTGACATGTTGCTTGACAAGACTATTCCAACATGGCGGATTGATTCCATCCACGGGGGAGGTTGGTCATACAACTTGACTTCAACCTGCTTCAGCTGCTGAGATCTCGGCTGGTATGGAAAAGTCACAATTTCACTCTTGGAGGACGAGAGCACGTATCTCCAGTACGTTGCTTGTATTCCTCGGAAATCCCCACCATCTCTCTAAGGGCAGAGACCCTCGATGAAATGAGTGCTACATCGTCTGCTTGAGTTGGAGAACACACACTTAAGTCCATCACGACAGCACCATGATTCGACCCAGAGAGTTTCTGGAGCAGGGAGTTTATGTACAGCAGGTACAACTTCCCAGACAGCACACCACCTTGTCTGATACCCTGCATCGTGGGGATAGGCCTAAAACACATTGAGTCTCGGAAAACTCGACACATCATTCCCGTGTACATGTTGTCAAGAACAGTCCATAAGGAGCGTTTGATTCCTCACTCGAATAACTTGTATTTCAAACCACTGTGCCATACTGTGTCGAAGGCCTTTAATGTATCCAGGAACACAACATGGGTGTCCTCCATTCGCTCGCGGTAATGGCGTATCGTCTCTTGCAAGTTGAAGGATGTGTGAAGGGCAGATAACTGAGATTGATATGCCATTCGTTGTGTGCCAGGAAAGGTATCAGTTTCATTTTGTCCGTCCAGTCGAGACAGGAGCACCATCTCAAACACTTTGCACGTGTTTAACACGGGGGAGAGTTATTAACACTGTAAGAGTTCGGGTCTTTCTTTGATTTATTACCACTCTTGTACAGAGGTACTAGGATGCTCTCGCGCCATGCTGTCGGGATATGTCCAGATTCAAGAAAGATGTTGTAGAGGGTTGCCAAGTGAAACATCAAAGTCCGCCACGATACTTTAGATGCTCGTACACGATCTTGTCAGCACCACCAGCCTTATTGTTCTTTAGCTTGGCACAGCACTCAGTGACCTCCAACTCTGTGAATTTCATTGGTTGTGGTGGGGGCGGTGGGGTAGCCTAATGGTTAAAGCGTTGGCTCGTCACGCCGAAGACCCGGGTTCGAATCCCCACATGGGCACACTGTGTGAAGCCCATTTCTGGTGTTCCCCGCTGTGATGTTGCTGGAATATTGCTAAAAGCGGCGTAAAACCAAACTCAGTCAGTCAGTCAGTCATTGGTTGTGGATCACGTTCTTCCTTGCATCTAACACGGATCTCCTCAACTAGGGAATCTATCTGCTTACAGAAAGAAGAATTGGAATTGTCTCGGTCTCGGCAGCATATACATCCTGAAAATGGTTAGCCCAAGCATCAAATATAGTTTCTGGATCACAGTGCACAGCCCTTTGATACAATATCGGGGAAAGTGTTGACTTGTGTCCCCCTCTGATTAACCGCACACAATTCCAGAAGGTCCGGATATCTAGGTCATGGGATTGTTCGAGTTCTTGGAAAGTCTGTGAAATGTGGTTATCACTTGCTTGCCTCATGTGCTTCCTGAACTCAGATTTTGCTGCCTTGTATTCTTTGTAGGACGTGTGTCCACAACCACGAGGTTTGCCATCAGCAAGCCAAACACAACGCTTAGCAGTCATGTGATTATGAAAATCATTCACAGCCTTGTTCCAGTATGGTTTCAGGAAAGACCTCAGGCTGAATGATTTCATTGGTAGTGTCTCTCTGCTGACATTCAAAATAGTGCATGTTATTGCTGAATAATATTCGTCAATATCAGTCCATTCACAATCCACCACGGGAGGCTTAATACTCCATAGCAGATGGGAAACATCAAAGGTATAGTCCTACAACCTGCCCCGAGTTCTCGCCTTTTCCCAGGGGACAACCCCGCATCCCTAGGCCTCTTGCGCGAGTCTTGGTAGAGGTGATGGCAGAGACAAGATGCAGACGACTTGGTTGTGGTCAGACACATTGAAGGGGGCATCGTCTAAGATACGGGCACATACAACATCACTCAGGGTCGACTCAGGCAACAAGATATGGTCAGTCATAGTTCGTGGTCCATGCTGATAAGAACAGAAGGTCCAAGTTGGACCTAACAGAGAACCAAAGAGTACTGAAGTACGGCCTGACCTTTGAATTGACTCGTTCATTCTCCTCGATTGGACATCTTCTGTGAATCTGTAATAAGCACATTTGACTTTTGCATTTAGATCACACATGATGATTACTTCACCAAGATCTGAGTAGCCAGCATATACATCATCGACAATGTCATGGCAAGTACAGAGCAGATCATTAGGTCTAGTCACAGCCGGTAGGCACACATTAAATATGTACAAAGGTCTGCATCCAGAAACGTGAGTCTCAACACCAACTAAGAAATCATAGTCACTAGGTACCTCTTGACAATAGCACTGGAATCGCTTAGATATAAGCAAAGCAACACCACCTCTAGATGCAAAGAAACCATCAGGCAATAGCTGGCCATCTCCAAAACATCTGGCAAACACTGAATATGGATAAGCAATTTGTGTTAATAAATGGAGGTTATGGTTACCGAGCTGATGTTCACTCAGTCCACAAATGTCCACTTCACACTGTGAGAGGCATGGTTTGAGATATGGCACACTGGTTGAGACACCTCGACAGTTCCAGCACATGAGAGTAATCCTATCAACTTACATCATGCAGTCGTGTTGTCGTTGTACAGCTGTGACCCCGGTATCCATTTACGGACAGCGATACCATCAGACCAAAAGGTAGGATCTTCAACAAGCTTCTTCTGAGCGAAAGGGACATTTACCTGTGCTGAAGTCGTGTGTCTGTATTTGTTGTTCAGAATTCTCACTAAGGACGCCTTGACATCACCCTTCATTAAGTAGTAGCTAATGACAGACTCCTTCGTATCAATGTGGATCCGCCCAATGAAGAAACGGGTGACTCGTTGCCTGGGAAGTGCTGCTCTGAAGTTACGTACCATCCGGTGAGTTAGTGGTGTGACAGTTGACCGTACGGCTCCAGTCACGGTCCACGTCAACCGTTATCTTTAAATCAGAACACCGGTCCTTGACGTTCTTCTGTCCATTTGAAGATCAAGAAAACTGTATCCCATTGTCTAGTCCAAGCATTTCCTCACTATTACCATAACATGGAATCGGTAAACCAAGGGATTCACTCAGTTCTCTGATATACAACTCACTACTAGGGTTAGGATAGGCTTTCTGTAAAGAAACATATATTCTTAGGCATAGAATGATAAAAAAACCGGGGTTACGGGCGGAAATCTTTCCGTATACACTATGTCATTTAGTTCATTAGCGACTTCACCATGGCATGCTCTGAATAAATAGTAGCAGTCTTTTGCCAGTTTGAATTGCAGAGATTCGCCTGATTTGCCTCGCTTCTCCAAGCGTCTCTTGAGAACACTTTTCAAATATGGAAACCTTTCTGTTTCTTGGCCCCTTCCAAAACGGTTAATCTTGTTGATTCTAATTCACTGATATCACCATTTAATATATCAAGAGTTGTTGAAATAATCGTGTCCTTGGGACAGTCCGGTGACTCACGTGTAAAGAATAGCAATATGAAATCCACAGACTCGTCACGTAACGTACAGTTACTCACCGGTTGCATCGCCATGTTGACTGTCGTTGTACTCACCGCCTTGCCGGGTATCACACATATCATTTCCATCGTCCACACACATTTCCCAATAAACTTTCGTTCACATAGTCAAAGGAAAGTGTTCCTGGGTCAACATTCGTAAGTTCTGTGTGCGATATCTGTCAAATACCCACACTCTTGTCCATCTTCATTGTACATTGTACCCATGTGGGGAATCGAAATCCGGGTCTTCGACGTGAGTCTTTAACCACTAGGCTGCACCACCGTCCCACATATAATTGAAGACACACTTTTTGTTGAATACTTATCATCGGTTTCAAATTTGGATCGTCACATCTCAGTATTTAGTATATTTCAGTATAAACTGTATTACCAGACAAGAGTTCAGGGAAAAGCGTATGAATACACGTATATATTGACGCCCTTGTTTAGCTGACGGTGGCTGGACTGACTGGGAAGAGTGGCAGGATGTGGATGAGTGCAGTGTCTTGTGTGGTGGTGGATACAAGGACCAGGACCGCTCCAGGACCTGTACCAACCCAAGCCCGGCCTTTGGTGGTGCCGACTGTGACGGAGAGAGCTACCAGAACCAGACCATCAGGTGTAACACCGAGGAGTGTGGAGGTAACTGCACCAACAGTAATAACTAGATTCAAATTGGCTTACACTCCCAGAACTAACCACCTACCCTAACTAAGTACCAGATATGGAAGTTCAATGTCCAGAGTAGCCTCCATTTTTGTGTCAGCATTCGCTGATCGTTCACTCTGTTCCCTAAGTGGGAGAGATTAAGAAGCCCTAAGTGGGAGAGATACTGAGGAGTATAGAAGCATTTAAGGAATATGAAACCTAACTGTTTTCTAAGCGCTAACACGTTTGATCAGTGTTTTTCAAATGTGGAGAGTTGCCTCCCTTGATCGTGTCAGTATCCGCTGATGGTTTACTCAGTTCCCTAAGGAGAGATTAACAATCCAAATCTGAGGAGTATGGTGGTATTTCAGAAATAATCGTTTTCTAAGCACTAACTTGTTTGATAATTGTTTCCTTCTCATTAACACAATAGGTTGTCTTAATTGAAAATATAACTGATCGATTTCTTGCAGATCGTTGTGCAGACGATGGCGCATTCCTTGCCCATGCCACCGATGAGAAGCGCTTCTACCAGTGCAGAAATGGCAGGGCCCTCCGCCAGCAGTGTCCGGAAGGTACCGTGTATGACTCCGAGAATTCCATCTGCGACCACGCGATCAATTCAGCCCCGTAAAGACAACTTAACTACATCTCACTGTGACTCTTTATCTAGACGTAAAGCGCTGCTGTTTCTTATATCTTATTAATAAATCGTCTCTTGCATGTTTTCACTGTCGATATTTTTTGTCAAAATTCAGATCGTTGCCTCAACGTATACTTCAGAAGGTTGCTATTTAGGTTTGGTTTAAAGATTAGCTGAGGAACCATCGCCTTTGAGTCATGAATTCATTGGGCACTTTCTAGGTTATATCATGTCTTACCAGCTTGATGTGGGAGGAAAGTGAAGGCTTTAGATGTTTACCACTTTGCTGAATCCCATGATCATGGTTATACCAGCACATTCAGTAATTATTGGTGTATATATTATGAATAAATATAACTCATAAACAAACCTTTCTTTAAAAACCTTAGCCAGAGGCAAACACGTCGACAAACGACGGGATGGGTCTTCGGTAAAAAGAGCTCATTTAGATTAGACTACGATACTCCGGCAAAATAAATTGATACCAACGGAATCGAGCAAGTGGATCACGTGGTCAATATTTGTAGACTTATGCAACTCAAAGATACACATCTCCAAGATATGTCCAAAAATATCATGATAAACATGATGTTTTCAACAGCAAGTTAACTGCATAAATTTAAAGGTGACACAGTCTAATCCGGTTCTTACTTATGTGATTTGTTTCGGGGTTACATACATATTACACAGTGCAGTACATACAATACATGTACTCTTGTTTGAAGAGGATTAGCTTGAGTGACACCCATATACACTTAATATCTGCCTTGAAACAGTGACTGGTAGGGCTGGATATTGCCCTGATTTTCATAGTGCGATATATTGCAATAATTTAAGAGCTTTTGCAAAATACATATTGTGGTATATTGACTGGAAGGTTTCTGCCCAAGTGCGTACATCATGCATTCATAATAGCTCTCTGTGTGCAACATCATCTTCTTAGTTGCTGTTACACCATACTTTCAGGCTCCCCATCCCCATTGTGACAGTTAAATAAAATTATATAGAGCCTTAACGTGGAATGTTTGACTGAAGTATTGCAACAAAGTTTTGCGAACATAATGATATGGGTAATAGTATAACATGATTTCCATGGTCAGTGTTGTTTCCTTCAACAGAATGCACTTCAATGCAGCATGCAATTATTGTTACTGTATGTCAGTGATTCATTCAGATTCAACTCCAATATATACATGTGTTAACATGAACTATTACATAATGAAACAAAACATGATTTAGTTTAACTACTTGAGCTTAAAATCGCATGTGACCTCCAATAGTTAAGATCCTTGACTAGAATGTAATTATACAGTCCTTCAAAATTTATAAGACTTAGACCTTTATGATAAATAGATGTCATTTGTCCCATTATGAAACAAACAAAAATAACAACATACTGTGAATTGTGAAATGGTCACTCAGAGTCAGAGGCACTACTATAAGTCCAAATATAAAAATGACCCATTTGAGGCCACTAAATTCCTCCAAAATGTCACATATGAAACCATTCAAACCCACAAAACGTAAAGCATTTGGTAGAACATTTGGCACTTTTGGAGCCACTTATAATCACATTTCCACTAGTAAAATGTTACCCGAAACCAACAGAAATAAAAGTATATTTGGCACTTTTAGAGCCCATGTTTTCGCCATTGAAATCAGGGGCAGATAATTCAAAGGGAGCTAACTCTGGATGACTAATATATTGCAGAATCTGAACCATTTCGCGATAATCGTATCGGGAGAAACTGTACCGGTATATACTGGTTCACCGGTAATATTGCAGAGCCCTACAATTTAATTAGGCATACATTTTTCAACGTTACCACTTAAGAACGTTACGGCGTCCAATCACATGCTATTGCCTTTAATGAGATTTAGATTTTGAGTAAAATGATTCTTTGAGATCTCTCTTGGGAGGAATGCAGCATTCCTCGGCAATCAATTGCTCAGTTTTACTAAATGATGTTGCATGATGTCAGCGAGAAAGTGCATACACTATCACTGGACACCAAGGGCTGAAATAGTTCCCAAAATATCAATACCAAGGGCGGATACAGCTTTTTGAGAAAGGGTGGGGGAAATGGGGTTGGGGTTGCACACCTGAGAAAGGAGGGTGCACACTTCATTTTCACGAGAGTTTCAATGGTCATTTCCTCTTTCAGGACAAAGGGGTATTCTGCCCCCCCCTTTTCTGTCCGTTATGCTCTTCCTTATTCATTTGTGTTATTGCATAAGCTAATTATTGTCAACTAAGGGGGAAGCGGGGAAACAAGTGTTGAAAGAAAGGTGGTTTAGCTGATAACAAATTAACAAATGTGGAAAGACAAATTTCTAGTGATCCCTACGGTATTGCTGGTGCATACTTAATCACTAACACCCTCATTAAGTCTTTGTTTAAAAAATCAAAGAAATGAATACGTTGATTCTCGTGGGCTCAGCGCGATTTTCAAAAGGGGTCCTCGCCGAGCACCCTCGATAATCGGAATGTATACCCTGGAGCTTATTGAGGATGCTCTATGATCTCCAGCTTATCGAGGATGCTCTATAATCTCCAAATTATCGAGGATTTTCTATAATATCCAGGGTATACGCATACCCTGGATCTTATCGGGGATGCTCGCCGAGTTGCAGTGGTCCATTCATGTACGTTTACAGTTATTTTGTCCTTTAAACCAACGGAGTTTGTTTCTGTATATAGTCATGACTGGGCATTCTGTAGTCTGTAAATAATCGAGTCAGGACCAGACAATCCAGTGATCAACGGCATGAGCATCGATCTAAGCAATTGGGATACGATGACATGTGTCAACAAACTCAGCGAGCCTGACCCCCCGATCCCGTTAGTCGCCTCTTAAGGCAAGCATGGGTTACTGAAGTTCAATTCTAACCCGGATATTCAAGGGTTCACGCAGAAGGAATCAAGCTACATATACTTTTCATATCACGGGAGCATGGATAAATGCGCAATATAAATGGACTATTATTATTATTATTATTATTATTATTATTATTATTATCTCGAGGAGTTAAATCCAAAAATTGTACGCGCCAGTGTGTTCACGTGTTCAGTAGCCCACAAACTGGCTAAGAAAGTACATTACTGCAGTATTGTCGTTCAGAAAGTTTTACATAACAGAAATAATTGCCAGATTTTATTTATGCTGCCGTGTCTTGGTCATGTTTTTTAAAGATACTGAGAAAATTAACCTTAGGAGGTATGCATCCCCCAAGGGTTACTCGAACTGGACAAGGAACACTGAAAGCATGAAGAGTACTCGTCGGGCATGGTCGACCATTTGGAGCTCTCGCTTTGACCTTCTCAACTGAACAGTACAGAGCCAGATTGGCACCTTGTCTCAACCCAACAAACTCACGAGCAGACATGAAACAAACGTTTACTTCAATGACAACACGGAGAACAACCTTTCATACTTCGTGAGCGTAACGTTTCGAATCTTTCGATACAGATTCTGGTATCGTTTAGACAAACTTTATGCATAACTTCTTTATTTCGTGAGTGCGACGTTTCGAGACAGATTCTTGTACCGTTGTCGAGTAGGTAGTCTGTCTCACAGTCCCTGAACCACTATTTTTCCTACTGCCAAGCCCTCTCTGCAGTGCTAAAGCCCTAAATAAAGCAAGTCTAGATTTCCTCAGGTTCAGGAATCTCTGGTCTCACTAGGGCTCCTTTTCAATATAAATGGGCTTGTTTGTTACTATCAAAATTATATATATTCAGAGACTAAGCCTTAGTCTATCGAGCAGGGTACATGCTTCTGTATGGAAACATCACACTCACGAAATAAAGAAGTTTTTATCAAATACGTTTGTTGATATTGTACCTCCCAACTTCTAAAATGCCACTCAAAGAAGTTACCGTGTAGTTGTCGTGTGCTGTTGTCAAGCTGGAATGTAACGATGATGATGATTTGGAGATTGTACGTGCGCTTTCCAACGTAGTTCGCACACGGGCTGTCCAGGCCATTTTTAGTCCGATCGAATGAGGGGTGATTTAACCAAAAGTTATGGCAACCTGAAAGGAGTTGGGGTTGGAGGAATGTAACATGAAGTGGGGGGTGATGTTTATGGTGAATGTAAGAAAGAAACAAAACAAGGGCAGCAATTCTTTAAGTTTTTCACGTTGCCGAACTGACATAAAGTTGGGTCGGTCGGTCAGTCAGTTAAAATTTGAAAAGAAGACAATAAAATAATGTTCATATCAACATCATGAAAGAAAACGAAAACATCTTTACCTTTGATTCTGCTTTAATTTGTCTGTTTAGGAGTAGCTATGGGAAATATGTATCTGGAAAAGAAGAATAGAGCTGTGTTCAAAAGACTATTTCTTCTATGTTCTTTGGTATTCGGGGACCGCCTCCGGAGAGCGGAAGGTCGCGGGTTCGATCCCCGGCCGCGTCATACCATAAGAGTGAGTGTGTGAGTGAGTGAGTTCAGTTTTACGCCGCTTTTAACAATATTCCAGCTATATCACGGCGGGGGACACCAGAAATGGGCTTCACACATAGTACCCATGTGGGGAATCGAACCCGGGTCTTCGGCGTGACGAGCGAACGCTTTAACCACTAGGCTACCCCACCGCCCTCATACCATAAGAAGTAAAAATATGGTACTTGTTGGTCCCTGCCTGGCGCTCGGCATTAATGGGTACAACAAGGACTGGTCGGCTCAGAGTCAGTATAATGTGTCTGAGTGGGGTATTCATGCTTCACTGCGGCATGGTATCTCAGTGGGCTAGCACTATAAAACCAGCTTAAGTCTGGGCTAGTACAAGCAGCCACACATACACACGCATGAACGTCGTCATATGAGCGAAATATTCTCAAGTGCGACGTTAAACCCCATTTCACCTCACCATTGGTTTTCGGGAAATAAAAAGTACACAGTAAAATCCTTTGTTGTCACATTTGTTGTCACAGACTTTGAATCCACAACACAGATTGCACTGCTAGCAAAACAAGCAGAGAACAACAAAGACAGGCAGCAGAGCACATCACAAGAGACAGAATCACGTTAAACTCTCACAAAGTTTGACACATCGGTCATTAAAACGTTTCTTTACTCTAATATCTGATGTATTAACAAATGACATGTACAGATAGATAATTTTAATACCAAGAACTCGGCCTTCTTGTGAAGTTTCACTTCTCTTCTACGTACAGTACCCTTGAAGATCAGGGTTAGAATTGGTCTTCGACAACCCATGCTTGTCCTAAAAGGCGACTAACAAAACTCGCAAAATGACATGTACAGATAGATAATTTTAATACCAAGAACTCGGTCTTCTTGTGAAGTTTCACTTCTCTTCTACGTACAGTACCCTTGAAGATCAAGGTTAGAATTGGTCTTCGACAACCCATGCTTGTCCTAAAAGGCGACTAACAAAACTCGCTGATTTGGTTGACACATGTCTTATCCCAACTGCCTCGATCGATGCTTATGCTGTTAATCACTGAATTGTCTGGTCCAGACTCGATTACTTACAGATCGAGGCTATATACCTGGAATATTGCTGAATGCGGCGTCAATTAAAAACATTTTGAACTACATAAGGGAAATTGATCTGCATCAGAAATTGTACCTATGTAATGTGAATGACGGATTGCTTGGTTTTGAATATGATACTATGACATATTCTGATTGTAAATAATAATGTAAAGAATATATATTTTTTTCAAGAAACATTAATGCCGATGTGACGTAAAACCCAACTCAACTCAACTAATTAAACAACAACCAACCATCTTCCACCTACAGCCTTCATCCCAGCTCTAGCTGACACTAGGAGGAAGCTGTCGATAGGTTCAGAGTTTGAGTCGGTGGTAATAAACACACTCGGTGAGTTTGCGTTTGGTGAAGTCCGTTTGATTGTTCGCAAGAATTATGATGTCAGACTAGTTTTTTGTGATTGGGGTTTGATTTGATGTGATCAGAGATATCTGATTTGCTGTCGGAATTAGTAAGGGAAGATAGATAGTCTTTCAATCGGGAAGAAAGGGAGAAAAAGTGGGGTCATTAATTATTATTAAATGAGTAGTTGGTCAATATTGAATTGGCTTTTAATACTGTATGATTCGATTCTCATTTGGAAATATCTCATATTTCTATCTTAAAGTGAAATGTCACGGGTCTTAGTTAACACTGAAAGAATACCCATACTCGTGTTTTATTTTTGTTTAAATAATTTGATTCAAAACATATTTAAAATTACTATATACACACAATTGCTAAGAAGCATCTTAGAATCTCATCTTTGAAAATCAACAAATTAGCTTCTTTCGAAGTAATATTTAGAAATATTACAACACAGGTAGGCTCAAATGCCTGCAAAGTCGTTCTTATCTAACCAGTTTATTTTAAAACAAAATTACCCAGGCAAAGATTGCTTTTTACAAAGTGTTGCAGGAGTTAGTGATGGTAAGTGGACAGTAACAGTTGTTAACGCGGTACTAGAAATTAGAGCATCCCTTATTTCCTCCAATAAGCGCCCTGTCGCTTATTTTTCAACGGCCTTCAAGACGGATTATTAGAGGCCCGGCGCTTTTTGCGCTTACTGGGTGTAATTACCGTAATTGTTATTTAGCTGCTTTACTAACGGCGCTTATTAGTGGAAATACGGTATATCTTCATTCACAGATCAGTTTTAGTAAAGGAATAATTAATGATGTAATGTTTAGTTCACCCAAATAGGAAATTACCCACAAATCTATTTTGCTCAGAAAATGTTACCATATGTACCGGCACAACTGGACTCAAATCGAAAATCAAACCTTTATATCATTTTATAATTCTGTCACTTTACAAAATTCGAAAAGGAGCCCAATAATCTACGTGAGTCTGTTGTCGAGAGTCGTCGCCGACACGACAATGGCATTATAAAAGGTCACCCTACAATTTTCATTCAAAATTGCCCAACGATAAATCAAAAGGAAATAGTTCCTTCCGTTCCCCCATATTTGTTTTGTAACGTTGCCGTACCTGGGACAGCGACAATTAATACACATGAGAGTTATCTGTTGTTGTTTTTTCAGACAAAATCCACCTCGTGATACCCCGTCATATCTATATTGTTATTCACATGTCGATTGGCCAGGACTATATATTACGACTTTTATCATTGGATGCCTATTTATAGATCTCATGTGACTGCTGGGGAAGCCTCCCACACAAAATGTAGTTTCGGTCTACCGGTGTTCTCGAGCTACACATTATGAAATAACACAGGTGTCACCTGACAACATGGCCGATGATCAACCCCCGACATCGTCTCCAAGAGAAGGCTCCACCGATTACACACAGTATGGCATCACGGATATCCCCAAATATACGACACTCACAGCGTTCGGGAAGGTAAACAACATCGAGACATCACCAGTAATGTTGCAAAATATGGGTGTGACCCTTCTCTCATCCATCACTGGATGTAAACTCTGCACGTGAATTATATCATACAGTCTTTCATGAACTATTTTCATTTATGACGATTGAAAAAAACAACAACATTTAAAATATGCAGTAAGGGACCGTTCATAATTTATGGCTCGGGAGGTGATGATTTAAGGGAGGGGAGGAGGGGTCACCCAGTTTGTTGGAGTGTGTGTGCGTGCGTGCGTGCGTGCGTGTGTGTATGTTGACATGTAATATAGAAGGGTAATTTATCTTGTGCATGATATGGAGGGGTGCCACATACTTTGTACATAACTTTTAAGATGGAGGGATGGAGGGGGGGGGGGGGGTGCATTCACACTACATACATTTGTATGCTTCTCCATAAATTCATCAACACCACCTTTAGCCATAAATTATGCATGGTCCACAAGGGCATTTTGTACAATGTATATGGTCAGAGATCATGCATCCCTACCCTATGAGAAATCAATGCCACGCATATGTAAACACGTACATTGCATTATTGCATTACTGCATTACACATTTGGATATTTTATTTAATCCTCTAAATCTTTCAGGTATTTTTGACAAAGTAAACAAAAAATTAAAAGTCCTCTTGTGTGAAAAAAGAAAGATGTGTATTCCCCTTTCCCCAAATTGTACATCTAATAATGTATTTGATATATTCATATCGATCTTTATGATAATGTAACAGTACAACTCTATAATTATTTTATTTGTTTGTTTTAGACAAAGACATTTGCAGGCCTGTATCCAAAAGAATGGGCATTTCTGGTTGTATCGACTATCAACATCTTGGCAGCAGTAGGGCTGACAATCTATAGGCTGGTAGTGGTGGTCGAATCTGACCCCGAGTCATCGGATTTCACCTTCACGATACTCCTTCTTATCAATGCTGGTAATTATCATTCTAATGTGTGGGGCTGTTGTCTAGTGGTTAAAACGTTCGCTCGTAATACCAAAGACCCGGGTTCGATTCCCCACATGGATACAATGTGTGAAGCACATTTCTGATGTCCACCGCCATGATATTGCTGGAATATTACTAAAAGCAGTGTCAAATTAAACTCACTCACTTACTCTAACTTGAATGTATGAAAATACTCAGATTTGACTGGTCAATCGCAGGATTCAAATTGAGAAAAACACCTCAGACTTGGTTTGCATGGAGCTGGGAAAGAAATTGAATGCAACCATTGACTGGGCTAATAATAGAATACTTTGATACTTTGACCATGTTTAAGGGTGTTGATTTGATTCTTCATAAATATATACCCGTGAAGGTCTGGGTTAGAATAATGATCTTCAGTAACCCATGCTTGTTGTAAGAGGTGACTAACGGGATCGGATGGTCAGGCTCGCTGACTTGGTTAACACATGTCATCAGTTCCCAATTGCGCAGATTGATGCTAACGCTGTTGATCACTGGATTGTCTGGTCCAGACTCAATTATTTACAGACCGCCGCCATATAGCTGGAATATTGCTGAGTGCGTCGTAAAACTAAACTCACTCACTCACTCTTCATAAATATGCACATAATAATCAGCAAATGTTGAAGAAAACAACTACAGTTTCAAAGGAATTGAAGATTCAGTTTATCTCCTGTGGCATCATATATCAATGCAAACAAGATGAGAATGCTACTTCCAAAACATTCTTCTCTGGAAAAAAATGATCTGTCTTTGTAACTTTGGTAACCAAAGCTTTTATGTGCTGCAATCTTTGAAAGTTTGTTTACACTGAGATTATTTTATCTAATGTGCATCATGGGGAGATGCATTAAAAGAAATATCTTTCAGATTCTGCTGTCCTCAAAACATGAAAGTGGTAAAAAGTAGGGCTGTAATGAATACACTATGTTGCGAATATGATACGTATCACGAATATTGGGTAACGAATACGAATAATTATTCATGAATACAATATTGTAGTTAAATGATTGATGCCCAATATGGAAAGCCCATGTTGACAGTGTTAGTTTGTCACAGCAATAACCAGTCATCTCATGACACTCAAATTTGGTATGTAATAGTTATAGTTGACAGTAACATGTCCGCACTTGGCAAACTAACATGACTTGCGCTACTACAAGGCAAGTACATAATGCATTCTTGCATATCTCATTTTGAAAAAGGACATAAGGGTTCAAGTAAAACACAATCCATTAAAAAAATTGTAAATATTCATGAATATTTGGTTCTGGTGACCACAAATAACGAATTGAATTCATGAAGGGCTATGGTTCGATTCACCGAATATGCGAGTGAATCGTAACAGCCTTAGTAAAAAGTAACATTCGTAATGCTTGCAATGCTAAACTGCCTATAGATAGTTATAGTTTAGCATTACAGACTGCACCTGTCCTACTTGCTTTACAAATCAGCAGACAGTAGTAGTAAATTTTGTAGAATCAACAAAAATATACAATTATAAATTTTTAATCATGCTGCTAACCTGAAAAAATGTTTCAACTTTCAACAATTTTGCATCAGTGTTATATAAACTGAACAGATTTTTGTGTATAAATGTAAATGAGCTTACTTTCATACAAGCCTCCTGGTAGGTGAGAAACTAGAAGATGCAAGTTTTTTCCTATATTTCCACCTTGTATTTTCCTGTAAAGGATTCAAATAGCAGGTTAAAAAGGCATAAAAGATCCAGCTGCACAAATAGCAACATATTCATACAACTTGGGGCGGTGGGGTAGCCTAGTGGTTAAGGCGTTTACTCATCACACCAAACACCCGGGTTTGATTCCCCACATGGATTCCCATGAGAAGCCCATTTCTGGTGTCCCCCGCCATGATATTCCTGGAATATTGCTAATAGCGGTGTAAAACTAAAACTCACTCACTCATACAACTAATGCAGGCAAGCAGGTTAGTTGCATGTCACACCTGCAAACCAGAAAATAAAAGAATTTCCAGTTTATTTAATTACTTTAAATAGCAAAATCTCATTTTTCTGTATCAGAACAACATATTTTCTGTCTTTGTTTCCATGTTCAGGTTTCAGTGCCTTCTATGTCATCCATGGTGTGTTGCATGAACGTGTGTACGAGCTCTACGCGCTGATAGTGGCCATCTTGGTAGTGACCATGTACTGTGTACTGGAGTATGGAGCCTTCAACAAAGAAGGGCAAACAACAGTCAAACTGGTAAAGATAAATAGTTATGTCAGATAGTTGACAGGTTAATAACTAACTGCTTAGATTGTATAGCGGCCATAAAAATTCCAAATCCCATGCTGGGATTCGAAATGAAATTTGCATGGTGAGATTTTGGTGTTTTTTTCAATAATTGCACCAAGTGCAACCTGGCTTATAGGTTTGGCTGCACCATCAAAATTTCAGTTGCACCATAAAGTAATGTCACTGGTTCTAAAAAGTAACATACATACTAGGGCTGTGCAATATAACCCGTTTACCGGTATTTACCGGTTCGGACATGAAAGCAATACGTATTGCGATACGCTGATTGAAAACCGGTATTTTGACATGCATTCGGAAAACTTCGTAACACTCGGAATCTTCGTATATTTCCGTTTTATAAATTGTTCCTTTCCTTTTTTTGTTTGTGCCAAGTATTATTTACATTTTTATTTTGTCATGATTAAGAGTTTTTATTAAAGCTTAATCAAGCATGGTGATATGCAATATATAGCAATATGAAAATTCTCTGCAATACCCACCCCTAATACATACTTCTTTAGCAATTTTCATAACAAGTACCGGTACTCAGTATCAGATACATTCAACAGAACCTGACCCCATGATGATAAATGGTGAATGATTCAGTTTTTATTTTGCATTACCGTTATTTATAATGTTTGATTACTGCAACAAAACTGATTTAAGAGTACACAGATATTTCTGCTGATAACAAGTCACATATTGCTTTGAGTCACTTACTTCGAAATTTAAACACACAATGACAGCTGTAATATGTTGGAGGATTTATTGTTACCTGCAACGGGTGCAACCTGTTACTCAAGGTAACCTGCACCAGGTATTTTTAACATGCACCGGTGCAGGTTGTGAACAGCGAAATCTCACCCTGATTTTCGATTTCATAATCCCACATCTGTTGATATTGACATGATACTTGTGTGCAGTTAAAAACTAAAGCATGTAAGATTTCACTTCATTTTGTCTTTAGGGGCATGGGTAGCACAGTTGCCAAAGGAACCACAATTCACTGTACAGAGTTTCCTCCCTTTGATATTTCAGACACTTATCATTGTGGGTTCTAATCCCAGTCCGCCATGATTTTACTTCTGGTGGTCAGGTTCGTTGACTTGGTTGACACATGTCATCGTATCCAAATTGCATAGATTGATGCTTGTGCTCTTGATCACTTGATTGTCTGGTCCAGACTCGATTATTTACAGACCGCCGCCATATAGCTGGAATATTGCTGAGTGTGGCTTAAAACTAAACTCACTCACTCACACAGCTGAAAACTTGTTTCAAAATGAAATGTGTTTTTATTTCAGGAAATAGATAGCTTTTTTGAACATTCTCACTGCAGGTGTGCTCAGATACTTGTGATTTATTTGTCGTAAAGGTGTGTTCTATTTTCAGGTCCGTCTGATCTTAGTGTGTATCTTAGCACCACCAAACATTTTTCTAGCCTGGGCTGTTGCAAAGGACTTTGGATATCTGGAATTTAGAATAGTTGGCGCTTCAGAATATCTGCAACGTTAGTATCAGATCAATTCGTCACTTCTTTAAACCACTTAAAGTCTTCAAATCATAACCTGTAATATGTATTTGGAATATCTGAGTTGACAGTGACTCTTTTTTCAGTTAAGCTGGAATGCCATGGGTCCTTGTTATAAAAAGCCTATTGTTTAATGTTCAATGCCTTAGATTCCAATACTACAAGGACTAACCTAAATGACCCCATGATCTAGTGTTGGGAATTGGTTGAAATCTCAAAATTGATGATTGGTTCACTACCAACGAGCAATCATCGAAGAAAATTGGTTAGCGTCATGTTTAAGATTTTCCTATCCAGGTTGTTATTGCAGATAAGTATAACGTGGATCTCTGTTTTTTGTTATATTCAGAAACTGCACAAATTGCATTTGCAAACTTCACATCCAATGTAAAACGATGCAGCTTGCTAGTTTAAAGTGATGACTAATATATCATGAACATAAACTTCCTGGAGTCTTCAAGAAATATTCAATCATGACTTTTCAGTAAGAGTTTTCTAAGAATTAAACACATTTTCAGGCCCTGTTAACTTCTAAGATATGTTCAGTCATCAAGTGGTTCAAACTCTAAAATAGTAGTTACAATATCATTTGTGTTCGATTATGAGAAAATGTGATCGATTGCTTGGTCGTTTGGTCACTGTGACCAACCTTCGATTATTTCAAATAATCAGACACCACTAGTATAATCCCATTACTTTGATGACTGAGAGTGATTTTTATGACATTTAATTCTTGTGTTAATGTTAAACATACTTATGTTTTTCAGATCTCTACAAACAGGCCTCCATATTTTCCTGCTTCTTGAAATTAGACTTGCAGGCATCGGTAAGATGTTATTTATCACATATAGAATTCATTTATTGTTTGACCAACATGAACGATCAGCTTATACTTATACTGAGTTTAAAATAACATTCACCTTGTGTGGATTTCACGTGATCAAATCTCAAAGAACCATATGGAAACACTGTAAAAGTATCTCCAAACTGAAGGTCCTTAGGGGTCACTGGACAGTGGTCAGTATTGTGGTCAGTTGTATTTTTGGTTTAGCATGAAATGTCGGGACAAAAGGATTCTGCTCTTATTTCAACGTGTAATTTGTGTGTGGCAAATACCCAAAACTGTCTGGCATTGTTGTGTTGTTAAATGAAGCTATAAATGATGTTAAGGAGATTTTATCACTGTTGTTTTACACAGTAAATTACACTGGTTTTTGTGGTTGATTTATGCTGAACACTATTCTCCAATAGGACACTTCTGAATGACCAGTTCAGCTCTGGATTAGAATTATCTTCAGTAACCCATGCTTGTCGTAGGAGGCTACTAACGGGATCAGGTGGTCAGACTTGTTGACTTGGTTGACACGTGTCATCGTATCTCAATTGCGTAAATCCATGCTCATACTGTTGATCACTGGATTGTCTGGTCCAGACTTTACAGACTGCTGCCATACAGCTGGATTATTGCTGAGTGCAGTACTTAACAACATAGTAACAAAACAAAAAACACTCCCGAATGGAATAACTTGAATAAACAACATCTGAAGCAGTGTCCCACGAAACAAGAAGATGATGTCTCATATGTGTGGACCCGTGAAGATCCGGGGTAGAATAGGTCTTCAGCAACCCATGCTTGCCACAAAAGGCGACTATGCTTGTCGTAAGAGGCAACTAACGGAATCGGGTGGTCAGGCTCACTGACTTGGTTGACATATGTCATTGATTCCCAATTGGGCAGATCGATGCTCATGCTGTTGATCACTGGATTGTCTAGTCCAAACTCGATTATTTACAGACCGCCGCTATATAGCTGGAATATTGCTGAGTGCGGCGTAAAACTAAACTCACTCACTCACTCATATGTGTGCCAAGACTGATCCACACACTGGCAATGTTTTCAATCTTGGATTACATACATACATATTTTTTACATTTCTAGGTAAGCTTTGTGGTCCTGGCCTTGAAGGAGGGAACGGACATCACACTGCTGGAAAAGATCAATCTGGGTGTTGGGATACCATACACACTTTTGTGGTCAATACTGGGCTGGTTCGTGGTGAGTGTTACACATGTTGTAAAAATGTAATGAGTTGTGTCTGCACCCAGTGGTGATGGGGAAATGTGGAGAGATAGGCTATATGAATTTTGAACTAATTTGCAAAACAGAGACTGAGTAAAATTTTGCACCACTTTTAGCAGTATTCCAGCAATCTCTTGTGGGAGCAGTGACAATCTATATTTTTGTAAGTCTTAGGGGGGGTTGGGTAGCTTAGTTGTGAAAGAGTTCGCTTGTCACGCCGAAGACCCGGGTTCAATTCCCCACATGGATGCAATGTGTGAAGCCTATTTCTGGTGTCCCCTGTCATGATATTGCTGGAAATATTGCTAAAAGTAGCGTAAAACAATACACACTCACTCTGTAAGTCATTGGCATGTTCTGTGTTGATTTCTAAGCCCCAGCCAGACATGACAATAAGGGTCAAAGGTGACTTCTGTACATGTGATGCCCTTCAATGTTGTAGATTTTGAAGGATGTATTTGTTAATGGTGTTGATAAGGATGTGGCTCAGTGACAGTCGACATCATAGGTCAATCCACTTTATATGTTGAGTAATCAGTCACTGTAGTGGTATGGCTTCTCCTCATGTCAAGTGGAATTTATGAGTGCCACATCCTGAGCCTGTGCTCTGTGTGAATAATGTAGGTTATTGAAGCAGTTGTGAATATTTGTAGTAACTGGTCATGGCAGCAAGAGATTGAATGTTTTGTAAAATGTCCTACCACTTTGGTAGATGGAGGTGAGAGTTTTGTGCTAGCTAGAGTTATCTGCCCTTGCCCAATTCTCAAATAAGCATCTGACATGGCAGTGAGCAGTTCATCAAGATACATCTTGTTCCTTTCCACACACAATCTTTTAAGATTGTTGTTAAAGTGCAGCGCAATTTGAAACCATTATGTCCTTACCTGAAGATCAGAGTTAAAATTAGTCTTCTGCAACCTATGTTTATTGTAAGAGGTGATAACGGGACTGAGCGTTCAGGCTCCCTGATTTTGTTGACAGGTCATCGTATCCCAATTGTGTAGATCAATGTTCAGGCTGATGATCACTGGATTGTCTGGTCCAGATTTGATTATTTACAGAACACAGCCGCGCCATAAAGCTGAAATATTGCTGAGTGCAGCGTTAAACAACAAACATACAAACTAAGAAACTCATGTTTTTCAGTGGCATTTATAAGTTGTACATTGATATCCAAGATATTTTTATGGATTAAAAATGAGAAAAATTATGGTGAGAAAAATTAAAAAGAAGTTTAATTGTGAGAAAAATTAAAAAGAAGTTTAATACAGTGAGAAAAATTAAAAAGAAGTTTAATACAGTGAGAAAAATTAAAAAGAAGTTTAATCCATAAAAATATCTTGGCTAAGAAACTCATGTTTCAATCCAAATGGTAATAAATGTAAATTTTAAATTTTTTTGAAATAATGTGAGTGGACATGAGTGAAAACATGGCAGCACTTCTAAAAGTGCGGATGAAAGTCATATTAATTAATGCACCTAAAGGTATCCCAGCAGTGAATTACACTCGCGTAACCTTGATTCGTGGATATAAGGGAAGTATGGCAAAAATCATATCTTAAATGCATGATTTCATTTTGTATTCTCACTGATTATTTTATTCATTGATTCAGCAAATTGATATGCCTTATATTCCACTCGTGAAAGAAACGTTTGTCTACCGAAGCCATTTGCAATCATCACCCATTCGGGTGCCTCCTGGTTCACCTTGGATTACGTAGTCGGTTCCTTTTTATCACTGTTTATGATAGCCCATTACAGTAAGTATTGACACCTAGGATAGCAGACGACGAGATGTGAGAAGGTTGGTGCTAATGGTATCTTTTTTACTTGACATTTTGTAAAAATAAAATTAGTGGTATTAGTGGCATTAGTGATCTTGGGCTATTTATCTCAGTGCTGGACAATTAGAATCGTGTATTTACGTGTAATGCAGAGATTCGGAACATTTTCGTCTGCGAGGCATGGCATTGTGTGTACATCAAAAGTACCACTTCGTGATGTCATACGAGACTTAATTTTCGAAAGAGCATGATAATTACCACAAACCACAAATCAAGGTTATCCACGAATTTAGGTTATGGTTCTGTAACTCTCATATGACACAGTCACACTGCACTGAATGTGATGGAAATGAATCTTAGGTAGCAGTAACCATGGTAACAGTTTTTGTGTGATTTACATTATGATGCAGTGTTTCTTCTCTGTCACCAGCTGCGCAGGGGAACTGAGGGTGTGGGCGTGGGTGTTTGCTGTGGCCGGTGTTGTCAAGCCTGCATACTATCTCTACAAAGTTATTAAAGTAAGTACTGGAAATATCAATATTGGAAAGAAATAAGAACGCATAGATACCATTATTTCAGTAAATTTTTCAGTCACTGTATTTTTGTGTGTGTGTTTTTGGAGGGACAAGGTTCTTTTGAACAATGATTACTTAGAGATTGTGTATTGTTTGTTTCACTGAGGTGTGAGTTTAACAACCGATGTGAAAAATGTTTGTAGTGGACATTTACAAAGTTTTAACATGTATTTAATGTCTCATTCCTTACCAGCCAATAAGAACAAACAAATGAAAAAGTGGCCAGTATAAAGTCAGTCAAGTCAAGTTATGCAAAGAAACAACATAATTCCCATGAGCATTAATGAACGTTTGATACTCTCTGTCACGTTCCTGTGTTCATAGGAAATTGCAAAAATATCAATATATTATCAATAATGAAGACATGGAAAATCTTTGTCATATTAGTAAAATTTACTGAACATTTTGAATTTTTATTCAGGAATTAAGATGTGACGATTAGCCACTAAATATTGCAAATATGCATTAATAAATGGTGATGTAGGGTGCATCAAATATCGTAAGAGTGGAATTGATTTGTATCACGAGGGGTGATGAATACTAGGGTTGCAACGATTTGGTTCGATTCATCGACAAATCGAATCTGACACCTTAGTTTTGATTTTCAATAATCATTATCACTATTTCGATAAGATATTTGAATACCAATTTAAATTATTTCCACACAACCCGAACGTAAGTTTGACTTAAACTCGAGCAGTTTGGAGCACTGAAATAAGGCGAAATGTGATTGGTTGACTCGGGGCTAATTAGAAAATGACAATTGTTGTTAGTAGACATCGCCAAGATGACGATGGATTTCATGATAAAAAAGCCGACTCTGAGAGTTAAATGAAATTTGATGTTTTTACTTATATGAAGAATCGAAAATTATCGAACTGAGGGTCCAATATTGAAAATCTAATCAAACCAAGGTCTGGGTGAAATGTTCAGCCCTAATGAATACAAAATCTATCCACAAATACAATGACAATCCAGTAGTTGATGTATTATTGTATTCAGTAAAACAGTAACAAATTATTTGACATGGCTTAATTTATCACAACAAATGTGGGACAGTTGGGTAGCCTAGTGGTTAAAGTGTTCGCTCATCGCGCTGAAGACCAAGGTTTGATTCCCCACATTGGTACATTGTGTGGAGCCCATTTCTGGTGTCCCCCTGCCGTGATATTGCTGGAATATTGCTAAAAGCGGTGTAAAACTAAACTCACTCTGGTACAACAAATGTTACAACTTGACACTTAAAGCCTTATGTTTGGGTTGATTGGCAACTTGGGGATTTGGCAAAGAGACACAAGTTATGCCATCACAATGCATGTATTTATATCTATTTTGTATATATAATTTCAAGTAAAAAACTCTTTCTTAAAACATATATGAATATTCCTCTAATGAACACGAATAATGAATCAAATCTTTGAAAGGATATGATTCATCCAAAATATCATGTGAATCGCGGAAGCCCTAAGGTCACTATTGCAGTTATTGATGATGATGATGGTGGTAATAGTGATAATGATGATGATGATGATGATGATGATGGTGGTGGTAATAGTGATGATGATGATGATGATGATGATGATGATGTGGTGGTGGTGATGATGATGATAGTGATGATGATGATGATGATGGTGGTGGTGGTAATAGTGATGATGATGATGATGATGATGGTAATAGTGATGATGATGATGATGATGATGGTGGTGGTAATAGTGATGATGATGATGATGATGATGATGATGGTGGTGGTAATAGTGATGATGATGGTGGTGGTAATAGTGATGATGATGATGGTGGTGGTAATAGTGATGATGATGATGATGATGATGATGATGGTGGTGGTAATAGTGATGATGATGGTGGTGGTAATAGTGATGATGATGATGATGATGATGGTGAATAGTGATGATGATGATGGTGGTGGTAATAGTGATGATGATGATGATGATGATGATGATGATGATGATGGTAATAGTGATGATGATGATGATGATGATGATGATGATGATGATGATGATGATGATTGTTATCGCCATAGGTGTATACAGAGCTGGCGGAGGACCATGAAGCCTTCAGCAACACCATCGTGTACTCCCTCCTGGCTGCAGGTAACTCCCACAGATATGTGACAGTCTACAAGTTGTCTCAGTAGACCCAGCCTGTCAGCATTGTTCTGTTAAGGCTCTGGGAAGCCTCAAATGATAAGTGTTGAGTAGCATCATCATGATCAGCAGTGTGCTAATGTTCTTCAACATTGGTTATTTAATTGTATCAGTAGTAAAGGTAGGGACTTAATTAACAAAATGTAACAATATTCTGAGGATTATGATTTTACCTGGCAAAATATTATTTATGTGACTGACTCAGTGTTGATTAATCCCTGGAAATCATGATGTACAGGTTCATAAATGGTGATGCATTTGATGATGATGATGATGATGATTGTTGCAGGAGCTATTGCGCTGATTTCCTGGTTCATTCTCATGGCAGAGCTGATCGTTGTATACAGAAACTTTGGCAAAGGTCTCAGAGAAAGAGGTAGTTTTTTATTCTTGTCTCTCATATGAGAGAGAGAGGAAGAGAGAGAGAGGGGAAGGAAGGAGGAAGTGAGCAAGTGAGCCGTGGGTTTCAGTAAGCTTTTTTCCCTCATAAAGCAGGCACACCAATATGTAACTGGAATGCTTTGTAAACTGGCATTAAACCATACTCATTCCGTGCTTGTTTCTTGTACATGACACAATGAATGCTGATTCACCATCACTTCAGTAAATTAATATAGTTTAATAGTCCTTATTCTGGTCCAAAAAGGATGTTGGGGAATCCATAATGATGTTATGTCACTTAATGGGGGATCGGTGTTGGCAAAAGCTTCCATTAAGATATGTTTTGATTACAAAAATGAAAAAAATAAATTATTGCTTAATGTCAACCGATTTGTAACCCGTGCTCTTTGCACAGGACCGCACAACACATCTTGCATCGGTTCTGTAATTTTGTGATTTCTGTGTGTGTGGAGGGGGAAAGAACTTTTGAACACCTCTCTTGGTTTCTTTCTTCCAGGCACCCGAACTAACTCAAGATCTCATCCTCTTCACTAACAACTGTCATGAATTCTCTGTTTCAACTGAATAATCAACCTGGTTGTATGAACTTAATAGAGATATGTTTTTGTTAAGCGAGCATGATTGAGAGTTAACAGATTCACATTTTTTTCACAAAATAATTGGAATCATAGAGGGAGCTTACTGTTTGTTGCTAATAGTAAATATGTCAGACCAATTGTCAAAACAGGGGATGTGATTTTGCCTAACTTTATTCTAGATGGTGAAATTCTAAATTAAGGTAAGCGGAATGGAAGGCCCCCTCTACCCAACCCGGTCTACCCCAGTTTCTACAACACCTTCCATCCTTCAGCTGCATTTAAGCTCCCACATACACGTAACACATTCCACATGTCAACAATGTATAAGCACTGCTGTTGCACTGTTAGTTTGTCATTTTGGCACATACTATGAGAAGGTCAGAGGTCAAGGTCATGTGCTGGAAAAATCTCTGTGGCTATATTCTTTCAAACTTTATTTTATGAATTTATTTTTAGGCTTAAAACATATCTGAATAGGTGAATTGAGGTGAAAGTGGGTTTAACGTCGTGATTGAGAATATTTCGCTCATATGACGATGCATGCGTGTGTATGTGTATGTGCGGCTGCTTGTACTAGCCCAGACTTAAGCTGTTTTTTTTTTATAGTGCTAGCCCACTGAGATACCATGCCGCAGTGAAGCATGAATACCCCACTCAGACACATTATACTGACTCCCAGCCGACCAGTCCTTGTTGTACCCATTAATGCCGAACGCCAGGCAGGGACCAACAAGTACCATATTTTAACGTCTTTTGGTATGACGCGGTCAGGGATCGAACCCGCGACCTTCCGCTCTCCGGGCGGATGCTCTAACCACTACACCAAGGAGGCGGTTATATCTGAATAGGAGTATCTTTTGAAAATGTTTGGTGCAAAATAGGCCAAGTTCAGTGTTCAGGCTTTTAAAATATGGTTTATCATTGACAATATCCCTGACAGAGTTACCTCTGCAGACATATGTCTTTATAAATCCTGCTACAGAATGATTTGAAGTACATGGTAATCAATGATCAAACATTGAGCAATGTCTTTACACTGTAGTGTGTCTAGTTTTGTCACCTGAGCATTCAACATTTCCACAAATCAAATGGAGAACTGAACCATTTTGTAGGATGTTTCAGACATGAAATAACTAACAATAATGTATAATTGCTGCACATCCCAATCCCTAGATTTGATGTATGTAATGCTTTTAAATACATTCCCTCCCTTCCTTCTCTGATATTATAGGCCCTAAATCTGAATTTGACCCTGTGTGCAGGATAAGCAAAGTATTTGACAAAGGGTTCCTAATGTTGATGAAGGACAATCCTGTTCTATGTGAAATATAAGTGGCGAGGCCCTTTCCGTGATCATAAGAAATCTCTGCTAAGATGATTACTTTGTGTTCTAGACTGTGTTCTTGAGTCTCTGTAAAATAGTTATGATACCACGTTTTCTGAATAAAATGTCAGGGCATCTGTCAGAAACACATGCAAAGGCAAGTCAATTGTTCATCTGATAAAACACAGCCATGCATTGTACAAGTTTAAGATGTTCAATGGGGAATTGCTTTCGACAACGATTTTGTCACAGATACATAGCACTAAGATTGTTATCCCCTGCCATGCGTTTAGTGCGAAACGCGGGATACAGTATTAGGCTCCGTCTGTCCGTCCGTACGTCCGTCCGTCCGTACGAATTGGAATATCTTAAGAACCATTGACTAGGTTCTTTTCAAATTTGGTACCTAGGTTTATCACAGTATAAGAAAGATCCCAGTCAGGTTTGGTGACCTTGACCTTTATTTCAAGGTCACAAGGGGACTTTAACGTTTTACCCTTGTCAGCGAGATATCTCAAGAACCGTTCACTGGATTTTCTTCATATTCAACACCAAGCTTTATCTAGGGAAGGCGCACGGCCCAGTCGATTTTGGTGACCTTCACTTAATTTTCAAGGTCATGGTGACACTTTGAACATTTCAGCATGTTAACCTGCATGTAAAGATTGTCAGCGCGATATCTCAAGAACCATTCACTGGACTTTCTTCATATTTGACACCAAGCTTCATCTAGGGAAGACGCAAGGTCCAGTCGAGTTTGGTGACCTTCACGTTATTTTCCAGGTCACGGCGACACTTTGAAGATTTCAGCATGTTAAACTGCATGTTAAGATTATCAGCGAGATATCTCAAGAACAGTTCACCGGATTTTCTTCATAGACTTTCAAGACTTCCCTTGAATGTTTTACAATAAGCAATTTCTTTATATTTCGTACACTATGACATTCATGTCAAGATCAAAGTGAGTCTTGAAAACTATTTGTGAGTTTGAACAACTACAGATCAAGATATCAAGAGAGGTTGACTGGTTATGTTTTTGTTGACCTTTAACTTCATCTTAAATTACAACCTTCACTTTCATTCCTTTTTAAGTTTCATTTGATAATTTGCGGCGGGGATTATGTCACCTTAGTGACAATGCTTGTTATTGTTATTATTAGGGATGCCATGATACATCGATACATCGATACAATTAGCGATTCATTCAAAACTGTATCGATATTTAGTTTTGAAAGTATCGGTTTAAATATGTTTATGTATCGTTTACATTTTGCAATTGTGGCACATTTTTTGTGGTATGAGAGTTATAAATGATTATTTTTCGTGCACAAAGATGGGAAAATTATAACTTTTTAATCTCTGAGAATAAAAAATGTTGATCTTTTCATGGACAATTATAAAATATGAAATATTAATGTTCAAAATGTAACTAAATTTACGCAATAATGCCACCAAAATAGGTATCGTGATAAGCATCGAATCGTGACATGCCTATCGTGATGCGTATGAAACTTATGTATCATTACATCCCTAATTATTATACCAGTTATTACCATGGTTACGGTGACTCATGAAAAATGTCAATAAACAATGAAGATCAGTGGGATATATGATTAAAAGACATGACATTGCAATAAGTAAAATAAAGTTAATTTGTTGTTTATTCCTTGCAGCTTTTGAAGTCCTTGCAACAGAAAACTCCAACTTGCTGACAGGAAGAAGGTCAAGGTGGCAATGATTCAAGGTCAACAACTTCCATGATTCTGGTTGCCATGGTAGTTGGTCAGAAGCTTTTTATAAACACAAGCAAATCTGTGATGTAGGTTATTGTGCTGATGTGCTCAGTTGACAAGCTTTCTGTTATTTTGAAAGAATGATCTTGAAACAGCCCTCAGAACTACTGTGGCAATATGTTACCTGTCTTCTCAAGTCTCTCTGTCACTTTGATGGAGTTGTCATCAGATGAACTGATGAAGTTGTCTGCAAGTTACTTTGATCTTTTACATTCATGTTTCTAAACCATTGTTCCAATATTCTGTTTAGCTTTAATGTTGTGGTGATATTCATTTCTTATTTTATATTTAACGTTTTCCAAAATATATTTTGACATTCCTTTTTTAATATGTATTTTTAACAACTTATCCTCATCAATGTAACAAGTAAAAAAATAATGTTTTCCAGATATATTTTCATATATTTCATCAAAAGATGTTTTATTGATATGTGAATAATCAGTGGTAAATATCTAGTCGTTAGAATTGTTTTATTCATTTATGATAATCAATACAATACAAAAGTTAGTCCCAGTGAATTTCATTGCATATACAATGATACACTATCTCCAGGCTCTTCACCAAACAAAGAGATCAAAATACCATTCAGATGTATCTGTTGTGTTGAAAGATTCTGAAGATGTGGGTGTGAACTGGTCTTCAGCAACACGTTTGTGAGAGGCAACAAACTTAATGGGGTGGTCTTGACATGGTTGCTACATTTGATCATATCCTAGCTGTGTAGATCAATCGTCAAGGTGTCAATCACTGGATTGTCTAGCCCAGCACAGAGTACTGACAGACCACATTCATACAGCTGGAAAATTGCTGAACGTGATGTTAATCAACAAAATATGTCTTGAAATTATTGTTTTGGTTTCATTTAAGTATTATAGTTTGTCAACAGTCTACAAAGAATTTATGAAGAACCTTGATCATAATCATTGGTATATTTTAATTGAAATATACATTGTCAGTGACAGGAAGATACGTGTGATGATGCAGGTATTAGATCATACTCATCATAAAGGTACTGTATAGTTGTATATTGTAACTAGCCACCCACGCCACCGACCAAGGAGTGACAGATACATGGCAGGTATATAGCATGCGAGAAGCGTCTGTGCTGGCAATCAGTGTTTGCCCTTAACCCTGAAAAGCTGCAGGCCCTAAGGACCCAGAACCATAAAAGAGTTGTGGGTCCTGATCAGAATGTGTAGGCCCGATATTTTAATATGGAAATAACACTCTTAGTTATTTGGGATGAAAAAGCTGTCGGCCAAAAGGACCTGCAGAAAAGAAAAGCTGTGGGTCCGAGTGGTTTTCAGTTGGGTTAGGGCCTAAGGACCGACGTTACTTTCGAACGCTGGTTGTCATGGGGAGTATATAGCATAGAAGAACAGCCCATATCTTAGCATGACAGGTATATAGCGTGCTAGAAGTCCGTGGTTGTATGGCAGGAGTATAGGACTCTAGAAGATCTGGAGACACTGACAGACGTACAGATAAGCTGCGTATCTGCGTAAATTACGCAAATAGTTATGTGAAAACTCTATTCCTATTATGTCTGTTGTGTACAAGTTCGCTTTAATATTTGTAAATACTCAATAAATTTTCAAATTACAGATCAAATATGAATAACAAACACGTAAACCAACATTTAAACTTTACTATATTTTACAATTAATGGAAACTGGCAAAATACCCAAATGAGTTTGAGTCAGGTGGGTACAATTTATTTGGTTACTCAAAGGAAAATTAGGATACCCAATTGAGATGAACACAAGCGAGTACATAACTCAATGACTCAAAAAGGTATCTGTAGCTCTGCACTGATAAACAACTAGAATGTGGAAAAAGAGTCTGCTCAAAACGATGTACTGATACACGTGTCACATTCATATGACATCAGTTCGTCAGTTTTTTGTCTGGAAGGCAGTTGAGTTACAGAGTAATAGTAGACTGGTATGAAATTGCAATGCATGTGAAAATGTAATCACATTTATGTTCTTCCTTGTTCTCAGAATGTTGTCTGTCCCATTAGGGACCGTTCATAACTTATGTCGTGGGGGTAGGGGTGGGGTGATGATGATGATTTTAAGAGGGGGTCACCCATTTTGTTCTGGGGAGATAGGGGGGTCATCAATTTTGTACACACGTACTGGGGTGGGTGGGGTGTGTTGCATCAATTTTGTACATATTATAAATGTTTAAAATTATGCTTTGAAATTCTGGGAAGGAGGAGGGGGGTCATTGAATTTGTACATGACATGCGGGGGTCACTTATTTTGTACATAAATTCTTTCTTTCTTTTTTTTTTTTTTGGGGGGGGGGGCATTCACATTGTACATGCTTCTCCATAAAAATCATCATCATCACCACCACCCCACCCCAGCCATAAATTATGAACGGTCCCTTACTTTCATGTATATGATTAATTTCCCGCCAGAAGTCCCTATAATTGAAGGTTGTCCTTGAGCATGGTGAGAATAAGTATCCCACAGGCCGTGAAGGTATCATCGTCTAAAATCTCCAGGTCCAACTTACACCGACACTCCTGGATCCATTCCCGCGATATCAAATTACCCACCCTTGATTTTCATTCGAGAAAATTTTATTTTCCACCCAACTCCATCTACTTCACGAATCAGAATGGTCGGTACGAAAGCATTTGTGAGTTATCTCCCTTACCCATTTCCTTTAATCCGTATCTTGAAGTTTGATTGGTCGGTGAAATGTTAACGACAATCAAGGGCGGGTTATCTACGATTACGAGACCCACAAGAATATATATATCTCGTTAGCGTAGGTATTCTGAAACGCGTTACCTGGAGAAATAGAGGATGTGAAAGTATGTTTGGTGTTATAAAGGTATCCACTTTCATGTACCGGCTCATGCTGTAATGGCGCACTTGTCTCTCGCCCGTCCACCTCTACCTCTCGTGATACATATATATGCTCCCGTTATACGCTCATAATCCACTACTCCTTATGTCTTCTAAACACATGTTACTATCTGTATACTTGCATATTGTTTATAGAGCGAAATGTCCCACCCTTTATGCCTGCTTTACATCTCTCCCCATCGACTCCAAAGGCCCCCACTGCCGGTCAGAAAATCGATGAAGTAGGCCCCGGTTTAGTATCCACATGCCTCCTACAGACATCGGAGATATGGACAAAAGCTTTAATTTGATACTTGTGAAACCTTTAAAATACGATATAGTCATTGACGTGTGCGTAATTGTCCGGTTTTTCGATCATGTCATCGTATTTCTGTGATGAACCTTTACATATTATATAGTAGGGTGTGTGGATACTAAACCGATTTTCTGACCCTCAGTGGGGGCCTATGATCGACTGACTTTGTTTTGTCTGTTAGAGGGGAAAGATGCCTCAAAATACGACATACAATTTTTCTTTTACAACTTGTAGAAATAGATACATACAATGGCATTGAAAGTCCTGTACGTATTTTGAAATGTGCAAAATGATTTTGTAATGTTATTTTTGTATTGAAATACGTTTATTTTACATTCAAATTGTTGTTGTACATGTATTGGTTGAAGCTTGAGCCTCGAAAGCCATTCATATTCAGAACCTATATGGCGCCGTTAGTGAAGCCGAAACAGTCTTATAGTAATAAACATCTTGATTTATCTAACACACAGCTGGAGTAAACAGGACAGCAAATGGATGTTTAAATCATCTGCTATGAATGACAAATAGGCAGAGTTGTTTCCCGATTTGTTTGATTGGCATTTTAAAAGTTGATGAATAATAAGAAAGGTATTATACTTAATAGTATGGATAAAAACTTCTTTATTGTGTTACGATGTGAAGGTACAGATTCTTATACCGTTGTCAAGCAAGAATTATCCATAAAGTATCATACATTTCTTAGGCTTTTTTTTCCCTTTCGGGCTTTCTTTTATACGTTATAAATATATAATCACATGTATAGAGATGAAATAAAAACAAAATTATTTTAGATGAGTTATATAACAAACATTCAACAGTCGTATATCTGTCAAGAGACGAATCAAAGATCTTATCCGAGTATATGCATATATAGATGCTATAGATGTCTAACTATTTTGAAATGCACAACATGGTTTTGTAATAATTGAGAGAATTTGTTGATGTCAATTTTACTGTAAAGCTTTGTTATTAAGGTTATGTAATGTTATATTGACCCATGTGTATTGTAATATTCCGTTGTTGTACATGTATTAGTGAAAGCTTGAACTTCAAAATGGTGCTTTGACTTGTCACGATACTGGACAAGACATTAAAGCAGAAACATTTATAAATACTGTCACTGTACTTCCGGTGACGCTAGCCTTCATTGTTGGCTACACTCCACAGCTTCGGAACATGCAAGCCATTGCTGCAAAATCGACTGTACTTGCTTGAGCTGAATTTGAATTTTGATACATTTCCTTGATGAAATAAAGCATTACTTTTAAGCAGTTCTCAATTCTTTCGAGCTACTTATGGCGGTGTCGGAAAAGCGATATTTTCATTTTTGTATCAGATGCCGACAGTGCCAGATGGGGTTTTAAGGGGGAACTTCTCCATCAAGGTATACGCTATCACTGGCGTAGTCTTAGTATTTTATAAGGTAGTTGAGCTGTCATAACCCTAGAAGTACTGCATTACACCCAAGTACTGTGTGGCGTAGTCAGCCACGAGGCTGCAGGCGTTGACAAACGACAAGCATTACCGTTTAGGGCGTCTTTTATATATACACCTGGAACTTAATTAAGCACCCCCCCCCTATTTTCTGGATGATGAGAAACAAAACTTGCTGTAACTTTCTACTATTGCAAAGATAGTGTTGTCAATGGCTGACTATTACAAGAAATGATGCACAAGGAATGTCACATGCTAACATCTGATGCGTCTGGCATCAGTATCGGGTGTATCCCCACGTGCTTGATGACAGCTTGAATCCTTCTCCTCATGCTACTGGAAAACCTTCTGATACGATCAAGTGGCAATTGCCGCCATTCTTCATGCAAAGCAGCTTCCAGCTGTGCAAGATTCTGGAGAGGGGTTCTCTCAACCTCACACGGCGTCCAAGAAAGTCCCAGATGTGCTCCAAAGGATTCAAATCGAGGCTCATTGCTGGCCAAGGTAATGCCATGATAGCCTCATTCTGGAGATGTGCGGTCACAGCACGTGAACGATGCGGCCTGGCGTTGTCGTCCATGAATATCGGGTGAGTAGCCAACGGATGGTTGTCAAAGTGAGGCACGACAACTGGATGGAGAATATCCCGGATGTACTGCTGACCATTAAGATGTGATCGGACAGTCACCGTTTGAAGTTTACAGTAGTGTGAAAGACAAACCCAGATCATAACCGATCCTCCACCATGAGGAACAGTAGGGTGGATATTCCTGGGCACGTAAGCAGTGTTTTTATGCCCCCACACTCCCATTCGACCATCTGTAACATGGAGAAGGAACCTGCTCTCATCTGACCAGTGGACCCTCCTCCATGTCCTCAGGTTCCACTGCCGACGGGCCATACACCACTCCAGACGTCGTCTCTTAAGGAGATCAGACAGAGCAGGACGTTTGATGACTCTTCTGAACCTCATACCAAGTGCCCTAAGGCGATTTCTGACGGTTCTGGTGGATAATTGTCTGTAGGGGTAACCACAGGCGCTTCAAACCCGAACTTGTGGCAAGGGTTCTCGCCTTACCAGACGTGCCAGGCTGCGATCATCACGGGCCGTTGTCTTCCTTGGTTGTCCAGGCCTTGAACGATCTCTCACATCTCCTGTCATCTGATGTTTCGGACAAGTCGGCTGATGACCGAGTGACTGAAGCCCAGTTGTCGTCCAATAGCTTTGAAGGACATGCCTGTTGCATGTATGCGTACAATTTGCCACCTGAGTGCTTCAGAAAGTCATCTCCTCGCCATTTCAGTATTTATTAATGGAGACAGTTACAAATTTGTCTGCTTTTATACCCATAAATTGCATATCAGAGAAACTGAATTTTGGGAAAAGTGTGGGTTGTATGCTTCACGTGCACAAGGGATGCGTTGTGACGAGTGCAAAGGAACTGAAACACCTTTTTAGACTACTAGAGATGTGTTGTAATACAGAGATATCATTCATGTTTAACGATGGTTAACAGTTGCTCTACTATCATGAAATATATCAGGGGGTGCTTAATTAAGTTCCAGGGTGCCGTTGTACAAAGCGATCTTAGCGCTAAGGTGACCTTAACTCCCATTCATTAACGTAGACTTAAGGTAGCCTTAGCGCTAAGGTCGTTTTGTACAACGGCGCCCAGGTGTATATATATAAACGAGTACCGTACTTCCGTCCGTCCATCCGTCACACTTTGTCCGAAGCATATCTCCTCAACAATTCGTGATAGCTTAACCAAACTTTGTACACATGTCAACAATGATCCCTATATGTTCCTTTTGGCGGTTAGATCCAGAAATGAATTTTATTTTTTGCTGTTTCCATGGAAACATGACTTAGGATGTGACTATGAGGATGTCATCTTGTCCGGAGCAGATCTTCCAAACTATACATGCTAGCTTAACCAAACTTGGTTCATATGTCAAGCATGATCCATAGATGTGCCTTTTGGTGTTTAGACCCAGATATGAATTTTATTATCACCCGCAGCAACAACAAAACTATACATGCTAGCTTCATCAAACTTGGTATCCTGCTAGGGTCCATGCAGGTAGCAAAGGTATTGTAAGTCCCCATGGTCCCTAGTATGTTGATCAGCCTTCAGTTGCTGGTGATCTATAGCCCGGTTTTATATTGTACTGTTGTCTATAGTGATATCTTTTATGATAGCGTACTAGTTTTAAATTAAGAGCTGTGATATTCCAGTAGTTTTACTGTCCTTCGATGACAGGTTTATATTTTCTCAATTTATTGTTTTTCATATTGATATGAATTTCATTGTTCTCGTCACGATATGGCTGAGATATTGCCGATGTGACGTTAAATCTTAACTCACACACTCACTCACTCATAAAACTTGGTACACATATGAAGCATGATCCCTAGATGTGCCTTTTGGGGGTTAGACCCAGATATGAATTTTGTTTTTGGCTGTTTCCAAACTAGCTAGCATCTTCACACTTGGTACACATATCAAGCATGATCCATAGATGTGCCCTTGGGGGATTAGACACCAGATATGATTTTTTTGTGGTTTCCATGGAAACGTGACTTAGGCTGTGACTATGAGGATCTCATCTTGTTGCATTTCCATGGCAACAGGTTAGGCTTCAACTGAATTTGGTGGTGGTGCTCCTTTCTGGAGGAGATCTTAAAAACTTTTCAATACTCTCCTTCCACTTTGCTATAAAAACTCGAAAACATTTCACAGAATCATAAGTAGTAGACATGTTCATAAAGAGTATTTTGCCGTTGCGGGGGATATTGATGACTTTGTCTTCTTTTTTATATGTGTTTCACGTAGCCACCCAATTCTAAACATGGGTCGGTCGGTCAGGGGAATTTTTAATAAGACAACATTATCTGAATAATGTTCTTGATTCTCATATATTGTAATTCTTATTACAATTTCTCGCGTTCTTTGGACTTGTGGCAGCGACTGATTAAAAGATAAACATTTTATATGACGAGGCTGTACGTTTTAGGCAATAAAATTCGACGGGTCAGTCGGGCGATGAGAAACAAAAAATGTAGCCCTTATGTGGTGGTGTAAGCCTGGCTCTAGACTAGCAACTAGTCTCTGAAATGAACATATTTTACAGAAAAAATGCTCACAGTAAAAAAAAAAAAATATAATGAAAAGGAGCCCTGATACTTTCTTCATTTTCAAAAGCTGTGGAAATCTAGACTTGCCACATTTTCTAGACTTGTGAGGGCTTTCTTGGATATATTTTCTTCGGGGTCTGTATGACAGACTTGCTTAGCTCACACCGGCCTGAACACTCGCTTGTTTCCTTTGGTTAAATCAAAAGAACGCAGAGCTGTTTTATTCCAAAAGTTTTAAATATGACACGTTGTTTGAACCAGCTTCTTCTGATTCTTTATCTCGACGTTTCAGAGCTAATTCTTGCTCCTTCATCTTTAAACAAAATATGCAAAAACATAAAAAAGCCACATTATATTATCATGATTTATTTATCAGGGAGATCATTTCTCCAGGTGTGACATTTCCGCCGGTGATTACGACGACGACTTTCCTCCCGTCAACGTCAGGGACATGGCCGTTGAGGAGCGCCGCCATCGCTGCAGCACCGGAGGGTTCCACCACGAGTCCGCGGTTGTACAGAAGCTCCATACACTGGACTATCTCAGCATCGGACACAAGTAACACACGCTCTACAAACTCAGCGCAGTGCCGATACGTCAACTGTCCTGAAAAGGAAACAGAAACGTGTTAGATTATATTTGCAAGCGACAAATATTTCCTCTGTTAGTTCCAGTGTATTTAAAAAAAAGAAAATAACTGAAATAACGAGGAAATAATTGAAGTACCGAGAAACTTTTCGCAATTTCGAAGTCTGAAATGTAGGTATATGATTATAAATAATATTAGGGACATTCGGATAATACTTGATTTTTACCCTACCCGTGAAGATCCGGGCTAGAATTGGTCTTCAGCTTGCCGCAATATGCGTCTAACGGGATCGGGTGGTCAGACTCGATGACACATGTCATCGTATCCCAGGCTGATCGATCTAAGTAGACTACCCATCAACAGTTTAGACTCACTAGTGTAAACGTAGCCACTAGTTTCTGTCAACTGTTCCAGACGGGATTTTGCAAAATATGCCACACTGTTTAAAGGTACTGTTTACACATGAATTGATGTATTGTAGAACATATTCGTAACGTTGGAAAGATTATTGTCGTGAGTTCAATAAATGATGAAAATTGGCGATTTCTTAAACAAACTTTACACCAAAACGCAGCTGTTCAGATGAACGTTATTTGCCCATGCTTTTCAGCAATTTGATGCATGATCCTCGTGCAGTTCATCTGCATAGGGTTTGCGCTTGTTTTCCCCAAGTTAGTGGAGAAATTCATCTTCGATGTAACCATATATATATACATAACATAGTGAGTGCTTTAAGTGAGTCTAAACTTTTGATGGGTAGTACAATTGCTATTGCTTTTTATAATTCTTTTTACGCGTATTTCAAACTTAGGTGGGTTAAGGCAATTGTTTACTCCGCATTACTGGTAAATGTTCGAACTGAGTTCCAACTGAAGGCATCTTCGATGTAATGCCGAAACGAAGCAGAATGAAGAGAACGAAACTTGAACTATCAGTACCATCATACCACATGATCATGAACACTTACCTGCAAACGGTGGCCCGAGGCCCGTGGCTACTGTGTTCACTGGGTGGCTCACTGCTTTGCCTAACTTGAAACTTTCAGACATACATGGAGCTGAAATTTGAAATGACCATTATTACACACTACTGGACAGTTGAGGAAATGCATTTGCGAGATACGATCCAACAAAGGAAACTGAAACGGACTTGAACTGACGTCTTCCTTTGACCCTTGCTCAAGGGTTGTTTGATCAAGGGCACAACATTAAAAGCCACATATTGTTGACATGTGAAGGCCACAACACATCAGTGACAGAGACAATGTCCTATGCAATTCCCTACTTAGGCTTCTACCACCTGTTTAGTGATCAACAGACCTGCCCATCGTATGTCGGATACACTAATCTGGGCCCTGTTCCTCAAAGCTATCGTAGCGCTACGACAGTCGTAGGTCTATGTTAAAGTATGGGAGTTACGATCATCTTAGTGCTACGATCGCTTTGAGGAACGAGGCGCTGATGTTACAGTGATGGTATCATCACTTTTCACGACAACTCAGCACATGCTTTTCATATAATTTAGTCTTAATCGTACATTGGACTTGTGCTTTTAGTAGATATTTCTTATATTACTCAAATGGGTTTGGTCGGTTTTAACTGTTAACACAAAGCGATCGACCATTGATATGTTGTGTGGCTGGGACATCTTCGGTAAAATTACTTTTTGAGAAACAATCAGGTTTCATCACGAAGATTATGTAAAGGTGAAAAAATGTTACACTTTGAAAACATTGAATCGTATAACTTCACGCGAAAATAACTTCAAAAGAAACCTCCCAGAGAAAATCTGTCATAAGTGACTCCGAAGCAAGGGAGGTATTGCAATGGACCACCACTCAAGAGGTAGCAGGTTCATATTTGTCCGATGTTTGAAATGTGTAGACTTTATAAAGGTGTTGTTGTAAGCGTCCCTCACCCACAAGTACCGGAAGATGACACTGAAAACATATCTGATTACTACAAACATTTCAGACATCATGAAACATGGGCGTATACTACCTTTGGTCGGTGGTACAGTTTGCTACATAATACAGCCAGACCCTACTCACAAGATCAAATTGTTACCTTAGTGCTGATAGTTATTCAACTCTGACCTCCTTCTGGCTCCACAGCATACACTCTACAGGCTGACGGCCCGAGTCTCTTGATGGCAGCAGACACTCCCGACACCAGCCCTCCACCCCCGCAGCAAACCAGAACAATGTCAGGGTCAGGCAGCTCTTCCAGTATCTCCATGGCAACACTGCAATTGTAAATATATAAACATAAACCCAATACCCTCTCTAAATCTCCAGAAACGATAACAAGAAAGAACAATGATTTATCTTGAAATACCCCACGTCTCGTTCTTCGTTTTCCTTTGTGGTTTATCGCGTAGCTATCTGATATCTGAATAGTAAACAATGGCTGTTGATTTAAGCCACACTGGGAATCATTGTATCTATATCATTGTAACTACTGATATATATCGAGTCTTCACCGGGCACACCAGTTACTGATAACTGTTTGGTATGACCCACGCGTGCGCATTCAACAGAATCCATTGAGAACGGTTGGTCACATGCTGATCAGGAACTGAGTATCTACTTTGATTTTCCGACAAGAATCAATAAAAACATTTTTGAATAGTCAGACATGGTTTGAACCGCCGCCAAGTTGTGTTTTGTCATGTGACTTTTACGTGCACGAATCCGGAAACAATATGGATTCAAGCCAGGGCTAGTCCAGATCCAGTTTGACTGGTTGTTTGTTTGGTTGGTTTGATGTTTAACGCCGCACTCTGCAATATTTCAGCTATATGGCGGCGGTCCGTAAATAATGGAGTCAGGACCAGACACTTCAGTGATCAACTGCTTGGGCATCGATCTACGCAACTGGGATACGATGACATGTGTCAACCAAGTCAGCGAGCCTGGCCACCCGATCCCGTTCGTCGCCGCTAATGATAAGCATGGGTTACTGAAGATCAATTCTAACCCGGATCTTCTCAGCTCTCCAGTTTGACTGAGCAGGAAAGTGTCCTAGAGCATATAGGTCTTCTCTGGCATACCTGGCGTATCCGGCGATGAGGTGGATGTCGTCGAAGGGATGACAGTAAACATGGCTGCCGTCTTTGGTGTAATTGTCCACGGCAGTCTGTAGTTCGGCTGTTGGCATCTGCTCCACCGATACGCCAAGTCTCTGTGAAAGAAGATCTTGGATAACACAGAATGAGGTAGGTGGTATGTGTACCTCGAGTCTACTCAATACAGTGACAACCGATGTCTGTCTGGCGTGTAGGGAGACAGGTGTCAAGACATATCATTGGTGGGCTGGGGTGTGATGCAGTGAAAGCTTCTCTTCCGTTTGGGAGTATACTAAACCTGTCACTTTCTACATGTAAAAAAAAATACCAACAAACCAAATACCAAACTAACAAATCACATTGCGTTTCATTTGCACAGTACCAAGCAATTTTACAGCTACATGACGTCAGTCTTTAAACAATAAGTCTGAACCAGACAGTCCGGTGATAGGCGTCCTGGCCCCGATTTCTTGAAACAAACTTAAGTTTTTACTCAAATTTCAAACTGAGATTGACAATTTGAAACAGCTGAATTTTAACTCAACTGCATTTTTAAAATAAAAAAAGATCAAACAACTTAAGTAATCTATCTACCAAACTCAAATTGTCTACTATGTTTGGGTTTGATATCGATTTCAGTTCATTCTGGGAAATTCATTTCCCTGCGTCTTCTCAAATTTGAGTAAAAACTCTAACTTAAGTCAAAACTCATACTTAAGTTTGTTTCGAGAAATCGGGGCCTGACCATTTGTCTTAAAAGGTTTGTAATTGGCCAACAATAATATGGGACGACCAAGTCAGCGAGCCTGACCACCCGATCCCGTTAGTCACGAGCATTAAGTGCACCACCCTACTACATTCAGGTGTATTAACGCTGACAATATGCTCAGCCAGACAGAGATTATACAAACTACCTGTATAAGATGTACTCTGCTTTGCGGCGCCGTATCGGGAATCATGCATTTCCCAGGGATGCCTTGCTGGTGTAAATATGTCGCAAACGCCTTCCCATAGTTACCAGCTGACATGGTGATGGGGATCTTGTCGGACGCCAGTTGAGCCTCAAGGTGCTTCATCTGGTTCACAACCCCGCGGATCTTGAAGGAACCTAGGTGGGCATAATGATGATGTTAATAAAGGAATTCGATTGCGTGAGTGAGTGAGTTTAGTTCTACGCCGCCTTTAGCAATATTCCAGCAATATCACGGCGGGGGACACCAGAAATGGACTTCAATTGAGTATCTTAGTGAATATTGTTTTATGCCGCTGTATGAAGATTCTAACAATGGTGCAATGAAAGCACTAATTTGAGTATCAGTCCCTTCAGTTGACAATCAAATACTGTAAAACGCTAATGGCATTTCATCACTTAGCTGTGTAAGGAACCGTCGAATCTTAGAGTTGTCTTGATACGTATTTGTTAGCATTATTCCCTGTGTGGAATCGAACTCGGGTCTTCAGTGTGACGAGTGAACGTTTTAACCACTACACTACCACATCGACCCTGATTGCGTGAAGTGCAAATTACATTTGCCATTCGCCAGTTGATCTCTTGTTACTTCGCTGCAGCTGCTTTGTGAGCAAATTATTTGGGATAACTACTCAAAACTGAATATTCTAAAACAGTCAGAGGAAAGATTCTACACACTGCATGGAACGAAACGGAAAGAGCGCTAAATGTGGTTCGTTCCAATCAAAGTTCTATATTCAAGTCAATATGGTTTATGATAATACAAAATTAAAATAATGTGCGCATTATATACCACTCAATAGATCAAATTGCGCCTGATTGCGTCCAAAAGAATAATTGAAAGGCCCTGCGCATTGTTAGATACATATGCCTCGTGTCATATGAACAAAACACTCTAGTATCCAAATAATAGGTTTGTTATTTTCACTTATATATTTGATTGATAATAAGTAAAGGAACGCCTTTTCGTGCAAATAATGAATGAGCTGTAAGCCATAAAAATGCTGATTTCAAAACAAACGCTTGTCCCCGTCGCCATGAAAATGAAACGGTTGCGGTATTACCTGTTGTCTGCATGTTCTCCAACTTGAGGTACAGCTTCAGGTTGCGTCCGGCCAGCTGCGGGAACATGTCGTGTACCAGCTGCAGCAGTGGGGTCCTCACACATAACGGGTGACTTGTGACGACCCGTCTCGCCTCTTGCATGTCCCCCTCCGTCACTAGATCACCTCGGAAGTCCGCCATACTGCAGTGGTACTGTTATGTGACCAGTGATGACGGTACAATAGCCTCAAGATGAACGTGTTCGGTTAACTCGACTAGTCATTAGTAAAGGTGACGACGCGTCTCGACTCGTGCCCTCCCCCTGCCCTAACGAAACCAAATGAATTGTATTAATCCTGCGTTCGGCACACATATAAAATTGCAGAGACACACACATTCGGAGTATCGCTGACACACTATAGGATTATATATGAAGCTGACCATGCGGGATCGCCCTCTTGGCTCGACGTTGCTGTAGGATATAGGGGCGGTGAAGTGAGTGAGTGAGTTTAGTTTTACGCCGCACTCAGCAATATTCCAGCTATATGGCGGCGGTCTGCAAATAATTAATCGAGTCTGGACCAGACAATCCACTGATCAACAGCATGAGCATCGATCTACGCATCTGGGATACTGGAATGTTGCGAACTGGGATACTGGAATGTTGCGAACTTTAAACAACATACACTCCATCATCGTTCTTTAAAACCCCCATTTCATTGGATGTCACGGAAACGACTTTGAGTGACGGTTCAATCCGTCAAGGTCACGCGTTGTTTCCACAAATCTCTCAATCTGAAATAGTTAGTTGGTGTTTGAAATCATTATTATAAAGTGAAATGAACTTATTTCACAATGATTTGAATACATTTACGTGACTTACCTCAATGTCACCCGATCAGATTTTAAGACACTTCACTTGATCGCCGTAGTCCGCAGTAGATGGTTGTCCCGATTTTAAATGCAACCCAACCATAAATAGAATGGTTTGCCTGCCCTAAAGCGCTTAGGCTTCTCAAGCTCTGTGCAGCCGCTCGAAGGCGAAGGACTGGGTACCAGTCTCAGCTATAGAATAAATTTGATGTGAATTGTTTTCTGACAGTGTTTTTTTACAATTCTGAACAGTTTTCTTGTACATATATCTAGGTCTCACTAATCGTTAGACACTACTACGGATTAACGGTCACATCTAAGGTATCTATCCATCAATCCAATGCAGTTGGGCACATTGACTTCGCGCGATCTCCAAGGTGTTATGAAAAAGAGGATCGGAACAAAACGAAATAAGATTGGTAAATCTTGGTCAACGCAGCGAACCGTATCTGCATGCGTGACATCTACTAGTATTTCGACAGCCTCCATTGATTTCCGTCGTATTTCATGGCGATGTTATTCAAGTTTATTTCAATCATTTTAATTGTAATTCCTGACCTGACGTAATGTATCGATTTGGGGGCCATACAGGCCAGTAGATAATATAATGTCAAACGGACACAAATCCGACCCGATTGAGATGAATAAATGACGGTTAACTCATAGTACTTAGCTGTCTGGATTTCTTTTGTCTCGGAAAGAATAAAATACTTATATTGCGCTAACTTCTATTCACAAGGTGTGGGGCGGTGGGGTAGCCTGGTGGGTTAAAGTGTTCGCTCGTTACGCCGAAGACCCGGGTTCGATTCCCCACATGGGTACAATGTGTGAAGCCCATTTCTGTTATGCCCCGGTGGGATATTGCTGGAATATTGCTAAAAGCGGCGCAAAACCATACTCACTCACTCACTCACACCGGGTGTATGCTCGAAGGGCTTACATTTTTACAATGCTCAGTGGATCACTGTGCAATACAAAACTTGCTGCCTGCGAGGTGCTTGAAGGTAAACAGTCATATGACCATCTTATCCTGTCGGGTACCCATTCATTGCTGGATGAACAAAGTATTACATGTATTATATGTGCCTCGTTGTTGGGCAGGGTCAAAGTCCTAGAAACTCTCAGTAGTAAAGCTGCCAAATACTGTCACCGCTCAAAAGACTCAATGTTACTTAATTGCAACTGAACTGGTGACAGAAATTTTCATTTAAACTATCAATTATTACCTCAGAGACTTGTGCAATTCTAGCCTATACCTTGATGTTGGTCTTTGCGTTACATGCGCTTGTACAAAACGTGGAAAGTATCTTTCTGTCATCTCACACCGGCTCATCACCCACAAGCTACATTCAACAGTAAAGCTAGTGGGTGATTATTATTTTCAACATAAAGTTGGAATATTGCTGCGCTCGACGTTAATCAACAAACAAACAAAGTAAAAACAAACAGCCAAACAAACCTCTTTAAACAATCCTTCATCCGTCTCTCGTGTACACTTTATGCTCAGTTGCCATGGAGTATTAATGGTGTATAATGTTTTGTGAGACAGCGTCAGCCAAGCATGGTATCGCAGGGGCGGATACAGCTTTTTGAGAAAGGTCGGGTGCACACTATTGAGAAAAGGGAGGGTGCACACTTCATTTTCACCCGAGTTTCAATGGTCATTTAATAAACTTTCAGGACAAAGGGGACGCGCACCCTGCCCCACCCCCACCCCCTCTGGATCCGCCTATGTATCATATACGTAAAGTAAATCAAAGAAACACCTTGCGGCAATAGGGCCTGAAACGGCAGCAAATGAAAAGGGAAGTAACTCGTGGTACCTTCTCAGCAGCGCTGCAATTGAATGATGGCGAGAGGCGCGGGTTCTTGAAAATCGTTCATGCTTCGCGGCTGAAATGTGACATTATAATTACCGTGTTTGTACGTGATAAACAAAACATGACAGAATGATGAAATAAACCGTTTAGCAAAAAATACAATTGTCGATGTAAACCGTTTAGCAAAAATACAACTGTATAAATTCCTTTTATGCAACCAGTAGTGATGACGCGTTACAATAGCCTCAAGATGGACGTGTTTGGTTAACTCGACTAGTCATTAGTAAAGGTGATGACGCGCGTCTCGACTGACCTGCAGCCCTCCTGCCCTAACAGAACCAAATGTGAATTGTATTAATCCTGCGTTCGGCACACATATAAAATTGCAGAACCCACACACACATTCGGAATTATCGCTGACACACTATAGGATTCATATATGAAGCTGACCTTCATGCGGGATCGCCCTATTTAGCTCGACGTTGCTGTAGGATATAGGGGCGGAGGTGTAGCTGGGTAAGTGAGTTTAGTTTTACGCCGCACTCCAGCAATATTCCAGCTATATGGCGGCGGTCTGCAAATAATTAATCGAGTCCTGGACCAGATAATCCACTGATCGCTTAGCATGAGAGCATCGATCTACGCATCTGGGATACTGGAATGTTGCGAACTGGGATATGGGAATGTTGCGAACTTTAAACAGCATACACTCCATCATCGTTCTTTCAAAGGCCCCATTCCCATTGGATGTCTCGGGAAATGACTTTGGAGTGACGGTTTCAATCAAATCCAAGGTCACGCGTTGTTTCCACAAATCTCTCTCAATCACAAAATAATGGATTAGTTGGTGTTTGAAATCATTATTATAAAAGTGAAATGAACTTATTTCACAATGATTTGGACTACATTTACGTGACTTACCTCAATGTCAAATTCGATCAGATTTTAAGACATCAATTTGATCGCCGTAGTCCGCAGTAGATGGTTGTCCCGATTTAAGTACAACCCAACCATAAATAGAATGGTTTGCCTGCCCCTAAAGCGCCCAGAGCTACTCAAGCTCTGTGCAGCCGCTCGAAGGCGAAGGACTGGGTGCACCTTCAAATCTCAGCTATAGAATAAATTTGACGTGAATTGTTTTCTGACAGTAAGTTTTACAATTCTGAACAGTTTTCTTGTACATATATCTAGTCTCACTAATCGTTAGACACTACTACGGATTAACGGTCACATCTAAGGTATTCATCCTCAATCCAAATTTTGTGCTGGGCACATTGACTTCGCGCGATCTCCTACAGTGTTATGAAAAGAGGATCGGAACAAAACGAAATAAGATTGGTAAATCTTGGTCAACGCAGCGAACCGTATCTGCATGCGTGACATCTACTAAGTATTTCGACAGCCTCCATTGATTTCCGTCGTATTTCATATGATGTTAATGCTTATTTCAACTCATTTTAATTGTAATTCTGACCCACGTAATGTATCGATTTTGGGGCCATACAGGCCAGTAGATAATATAATGTCAAACGGACAATAACCACCGATTGAGATGAATAAATGACGGTTAACTCATAGCGCTTCAGCTGTCTGGATTTCTTTTGGTTTCGAAAGAATAAAATACTTATATTGCGCTAACTTCTATTCACAAGGTGTGGGCGGTGGGTAGCCTGGTATTAAAGTGTTCGCTCGTTACGAAGACCCGGGTTCGACATTCCCCACATGGGTACAATGTGCGAAGTCCATTTTCTGGTACATCACGCCGTAATATTGCTGGAATCTGGCTAAAGCGGCACAAACCATACTCACTCACTCACACCGGTGTGCTCAACGGGCTAACATTTTTACAGTACTCCGGTGGATCGCTGTGCAATGCAAACCTTGCTGCCACGCTGAAGATAAACAGTCATATGACCATCTTATCCTGTCGGGTACCCATTCATTGCTGGATGAACAAAGGCAATTTTGAACAAATTGACACCGCATGTAATATATGTGCATTGTTGGGCGGGGTCAAGGTCCTGAAACTCTCTGTAGTAAAAGCCGCAATTACTGTCACGCTCAAAAGACTCAATGTTACTTAATTGCAACTATTGGTGACAGAAATTTTCGTTCGCTATTAATTATTACCTCAGAGACTTATTGCAATTCTGGCTATACCTTGATGTTGGTCTTTGCGTTACATGCCTTGTACAAAACGTGAAGAATATCTTTCTAATAATCTCACACCAGCTCATCACCCTCAAGCTACATTCAACAGTAGAAGCTGGTGGGTGATTAATTATTTTCAGCTTGGTAACCGCCATAAAGTTGGAATGGTAGCTCGGCGTTAATCAACAAACAAACGAAGTAAAAACAAACAGCCAAACAAACCTCTTTAAACAATCAGCCATCCCCGTCTCTCGTGTACACTTTATGCTCAGTTGCCATGGAGTAATGGTGTATAATGTTTTCGAGACGGCGTCGACCAGCATCATATAAATGAGTAAATCAAAGAAGTACCTTTGCGTAATAGGACCTAAACGGCTTAATGAAAAGGAAGTAACTCGTGGTACCTTCTCAGCAGCGCTGCGGTTGAATAGTGGCGAAGGCGCGCCCGGGTTCTTCAAATCGTTAATGCTTCGCAGCCAAAATGTGACTATAATTGCGTACGTGATAAACAAAACATCACAGAATGAAGGAATAAACCGTTTAAGAAAAATACGGTGTCCAAGCATGGGTTACTGAAGATCAATATTCTAACCCGGACCTTCACGGGTCTGGCAGATAATAGGGACTGGTTACTATTTGTCATTGCTGCTATTTTGTTTTACGCCGCTTTTACCAATATTCCAGCAATATCACTGGGGGACACCAGAAATGGGCTTCACACATTGTACCTATATGGGTAACCGAACCCACCGTGTCGAGCAAACGGTTTCACCAGTAGACTACCCCACCGCTCCTGTACTTACAAGGAAAGATCATTGTTAACACACGTCTACACAGACAGTTTTGAATACTCGACTGAGTATAGGTACATCGAATATATACTCGGCGTCATTAATGTAGGGTCAAGCTATTGGTAACACTATTTCTTAAAAGTTGTAAATCTTTGTTTTTGTTTGAAATATATAAAACTGAATGTTTTACAAACTTTCTTAACAGTATGGGAAAACATATTAAGCCGTTGAAATGTCATCATTACGTTCTTTAAACGTCCGATTCATTCTGTTACAAATGGCACATTGTTTATTCAAATTGTCAATATGGAAATCCACCTGCCACTTAATGTCAATGATTTGCTCTATCCATAGAAAGTGGAATACAATGCACATGTATTGATGCTTTTTCACTGTCGTTCACTGTTCAGGTACCTGTTCTAAATCGCAGCTTAAAGCGAGACGTTTTTTGATACTTGCTGAAAGGGGTCGGGCTTTATGCCTTTTGGAATCTGGTCAAACTCAGCGGCAGGTTGCTGTCCGCTTTAAGGTGAGTCAGAGTGCTATTCGTAGACCGTGGCAGATATTTCAAGCCAGTGGAATATGCACGTTGACCAGGTTGCCCCAGAGTCACAACAGTCCG